TTTTTTTTTTTTGAGATGGGTCTGCAACCTCTACCCCCCAGGTTCAAACGATGTTCATGCCCCAGCCTCCCGAAAAGGTGCGGCTACAGGCGTGCACCACCATGCCTGGCTGATACCATGCCGGGCTAATTTTTGTATTTTTAGTAGAGATGGGGTTTCACCATGTTGGCCAAGCTGGTCTCAAACTACTGACCTCAAATGATCCAACCACCTTGGCCTCCCAAAGTGCTGGGATTATGGGTGTGAGCCACCATGCCCTGCCATTTGTTACTTTTTAATGTTTTATCTGCATGTCTTTGGCATACTTTTATTGTCTCTATAGATGTTATTCTGCTCATTTTTACCTGTAGGTTTTTAAGACTTGCGTTTTTTTTAAATCAATTTTTATATGGAATTAGTGATTCCGCACTTTTAAAAAGCAGGCATGACTTATGATAGTTTTTCATTTCATGGCTGTATTCTCATTTTTGGTGTGTATGTGAAATATTGAAATATGGACTGTGTGAACCATAGCTATTTAAATTCAACAATTCAACACAATATGCTTGCAACTTTATGAACAATTGTTTCTCTTAGGAGTTAAAAGAACAAGTTATTTAATATCCTTGTATCATTTCTGTAAGGATAGTACATTCTGAATTTTATGGGATAATCATAATTTTATTTTTCAAAATACTTTCATTTAATCTAATGAATTTAATCGCTCTACACCCCCTCCCATCGTTTTGCATGTCCTGTTCAGTTTGGATTCTAACAAGGAATTTTGGTGTGGGGCATTGTCCTGTAAGGGCTTTGAATTAAGTTTCTTAGGTCCAGACCGTTCCAGTCCTTTCAGGCCTAATCAAGCATCCTTTGTACTCACTGGAAATGCCACCTAGTTTCAGCTGCTGTTCTCAAATTGGCTTGGTGAGTTTTCAAGTGAGTACTTTTTTTTTAGATGGAGTCTCGCTGTCACCCAGGCTGGAGTGCGGTGGCTCGATCTCAGCTCAGTGCAAGCTCCACCTCCCGAGTTCACGCCATTCTCCTGCCTTAGCCTCCTGAGTAGCTGGGACTACAGGCACCCGCTACCACACCCGGCTAATTTTTTGTATTTTTAGTAGAGATGGGGTTTCACCATGTTAGCCAGGATGGTCTCAATCTCCTGACCTTGTGATCTGCCTGCCTCGGCCTCCCAAATCGCTGGGATTACAGGCGTGAGTCACCGCTCCCGGCGTCAAGTGAGTACTTGTTATTTTGAAGTTCTGAGATTCATCAGAAGTGCCATTGCTTCCACTAGAACAGATAGTGATACCATGCCGGTCTTGTGGCTATTAGTGGTTTCTCTCTACCTGTTTTTTGTTTGGGGGTTTCTGGGGATACCTAGTTTTGCTGTCAAGTTGTCCAAGGTTTCCAGGTTTCCTATCATGACTGCTTTGTGGTGCTTTAATGGGTAATTTCAGAAATAGTAAAAACTATAATTTCAGAATCCCTGCCAGTGAATTTTTTAATGCAGGAGCAGGTAAAAGTTACAAGAGCACCATCTCCTTCAATGAGTATGCTTTTCTCCAAACTGTTTCCATCATTTATCTTTAGACCTGACCATTTTAAGAACCCTAGGCAGGCCAGGTGTGGCGGCTCATGTCTGTAATCCCAGCACTTCAGGAGGCTGAGGCAGGAGGATCGTTGAGCCCAGGAGGTTGAGACCAGCCTGGGCAATATGGCAAGAGCCTGTCTTTACAAAAAAATAATTAGCTGGGCGTGGTGGTGCAGGAGAATTGCTTGAGCCCAGGAGGGTTAAGGTTGCACTGAGCTACGATTATGCCACTGCGTTCCGGCCTGGGTGACAGAGTGAGACCCTGTCTCTTAAAAGAAAAAAAGAACGAACCCTCAGTAAACTCCTTTCTCTCTCTGAGATTCACAGCAGAATATGGAGGTTGTCATCAGTGCAGTTTAAAAGCAAAGGGCCTGCTTCATTTGGACAACTGCATTTTTTTTTTTCCTTCAGGGTAACCTCTGCTAAACAGAGAACCCTACACTGTCAAACTGATGCCTGGGGGGCAAAAGGGCCAGACTGCTGTTTTTAAGATAGTAAAGGGTATCATATACTTTTTCAGTTAGGTAAGTGGTTTCTGGTCGTAGTGTCACAGTATCTCTAGCTGTTTCTATTTGTTTTCTGGGTTAACTGCAAAATTTCCAAAACTGTTGGTTTGGGTCTGCCACTTAAAAGAGAGAAATCTTGGGTAAGTTGTATCTTCTGAACTTATACCTACCTTACACATTGTTACATGTAAATGAGGTAGCTGATGACTTAAGAGTCCAGGAAAATGTAAAGTGACATAGAAGGTGCCACTGTTGCACTGGCTTACTTCTTTAATTAATATTGTCTAGCTTCTATTTACAGCAAGCTTGTCCAACTCACAGGTCACGGGCTGCATGTGGCCCAGGATGGCTTTGAATTCGGCCTCATACAATCATAAACTTCCTTAAAATATTGTTTTTTTTTTTCTTCTCATTAGCTATTGTTAGTGTATTTTATTTGTTGAATAATTCTTCCAGTGTGGCCTCGGGAAGCCAAAAAGATTGGACACCTCTGATTTACACCATATCAAAAGCAAAGTACCTAGCAATACAGTAGGTACTTGAAAAGAATAGCAAATAGGTTAACTCTCAATGGGCAGTTGACTGTCTTACCTTGATATTCTCAGCACCTCAGATATAGCCTAGCACACAGTAGGTGTTCGGCCAATGGTCATGGAACAGAATCTTCCAATTATGGCAGAAATCAGTTAGTTTTATTCATTATCAGAAGCCCTGTGGTATAGCTGAAACACTGTACTAGGTCTCAATTTCTCATCTTTAACTTCTGGCATTTGGCTTGCTTTCTTCACACAATTATGAGTCGAAGTAAGACACTGTATATGGAAACACTTTCTAAAGACCATGCACACTATTCTCGTCCTACCCCAGGCGGAATTAGGTTGTGGTTAGTGGTAGGTTGCCTAGGTACTCCTAGGTCATTTTGGAGGGGTCTTCTAAGAAAATAAGCAGTTTTGTTATGTTTCCACTTAATTCCTTTTTTTTTTGAGATGGAGTCTCACTGTCGCCCAGGCTGGAGTGTAGTGGTGCAACCTCTGCCTCCTGGGTTCAAGCGATCTCCTGCCCCAGCCTCCCAAGGAGCTGGGATTACAGGCATGCGCTACCACGCCTGGCTAATTTTTGTATTTTTAGTAGAGATCGGGTTTCACCATGTTAGTCAGGCTGGTCTCGAACTCCTGACCTCGTGATCCGCCTGCCTTGGCCTCCCAAAGTTCTGGGATTACAGGTGTGAGCCACCGCACCCAGTCTTCCAATTATTTTCTAACCTCCTTCAACTAATAAATAGCATCTTCATCTTTGAATTCCTTACGTGCTTCGCAAAATGCAGTCTACCTTAGTTACTCAGTAAACATTTATCAAACAAATGTTAGAACACAATACTGCCAATTCAATCCATTGGCAAGTTCTGCTGTGTACTTGCAAAACATATCCTGATTCCAATCACTTTTTGTCCCCATCATTACCGTCTTAATAGAAGCCACCATCGTATTGTTGCTTGCCTGAACAACCGCTCTACCTTCCAAACCGGTTTCTCAGCTCCTATTCATCTCTTTACCAACAGGATCAAAACAATCAGAGTAATTTTTAAAAATCAACCAAATATAAATTAGACAATGTCACTTCTCTCCTTAAAATACTGCAATGACTCCTCCACTGTACTTACTGAATGCAGTTTATTTAAATTATACCTACAAGGTTCTACATTAGAGACCAGCAAACTACAGCCTGCAAACCAAGTCCAACTTGCCACTTGTTTCCTGTAAATAAAGTTTTATTGGAACATAGCCACATATTGTCTATGCCTACTTTTGCACTCCAATGGAACAGCTGAATAGTTCTGTTTTTTATTTTTATTTTTTTTTTGAGACAGTCTTGCTCCATCACCCAGGCTGGAGTGCTGTGGTGTGACCTCGGTTCACTGTAACCTCCACCTCCCAGGTTCAAACAATTTTCCTGCTTCAGCCTCCTGAGTAGCTGGGATTACAGATGGCACCACCACGCCTGGTTAATTTTTGTATTTTTAGTAGAGACAGGGTTTTGCCATGTTGGCCAGGCTGGTCTCAAACTTCTGACCTCCAGTGATCTGCCCGCCTCGGCCTCCCAGTGTTGGGATTACAGGCATGATTTGCACCCAGCCAAAGGGCTGAATAGTTATGACAGACACCATATATGGCTTGCAAAGTCTAAATATTTACTATCCGGTCCTTTATAGAGTGAGTTTGCCGACCACTGCTCTACATGATATGACCCCTATCTCCCTCTTACAGAATATTCTATCCTCTTGCCCGGCCCCACCCATTTACTACATCTTAACCAAGCTTTTTCTACCACAGAGTCTGCAATGTTCAAGAACAAACTTCACTCACATCGTCCCAGGACTGCCTCCTTGTCACTGAAGTCTCAGTTTAAATGTCAACTCCTCAAAGACTTTTCTTGACCAACCAATCTAGAGTGGCTCCTTCACATCTGCTGTGAAACAATTAACTGTTAACATGGCAATGACTATTTAAAATTATATACTAGTTTAGGTCTCTCCTCCATTAGAATGTAAACTCCATGAAAGAAGAGACCTTACTTTGCCCACCCTCAACCAGCATTCTAATCACCATAAGCCCAGCACCAAAAACAATGTCTGGCATTGTTTTTGAATGAAAAAGAAAAAGACCAATGAATAGTTGCTCCAAGATGAGGAACACCACTCAAGTTCAAGGCAGTTTTTAATGCTCACTTGCCCTGTTGCAGGGTCTGCCTTCACACTGTCCTGACTGCAATCATAAAAAGCAAAGGAAGGTCAGACAGTATTCCTGGCCCCATTATGATGGGGAAAACAACTCCACCAACAGCACATTCTCCTCAGATAAAAATGGCATTAACTAGGTAAGGCAGGGCCACAAAATTGGACAAAGAAATTCTCAACTTTTTGATTATTATGGTTAAGAATTTTATTATCAAAATTATTACATCTCTTGTGAAAGTTCAAATGTTACAGCAAGGTGTAAACACTCCACTTGAGAAAGAAGTGATACTTCTTCCCTTCCAAGAGTTCCCCCCACCCCCCCGCCCCTACCCCCCCAAGAGGTCTGGTCTTGACAGCACCCTGCCCACACAGAGTGGCTGGGGTCTCTGCACGTGCCAGGCAGGGTGAGGGCCGCCTGCCCGCTGGCCTCTCCCCTCGGTTAATAGCCAAGGGGAGAATGCAAACCCCAGCCCAAATGGAGAGACATTTACATACGTTTTATATAATATACAAAGAAACCAGCATCCCAGGCAACATGATTTCCACTCCCAATGCTCTCCCAGACTGATGGGTTTGTGGGGGAAACAACAAAAAGAAAAGTACTCTGCTGAGGTCTCAGCATTTAAAAAAAAAAAAAAAAAAAAATCTCCCCTCATTTGAGCAAACACCTGATTTCGATTTTGAAAAGTGAAATTTTGTAACAGTCACACACAAAGAGAGAAGACTGTGCATATGATAGTTGTAGGACAGGGTAGAAAAGAAGGGGATGCAAGAGGCTGGGGGAGAAAAGGAAAACAAATTAGAGGGAAGGAAGGAGGGAAACTCACAGTATTATCTTGTCCAAAAGAAAAGAAGGTCCACTGCAGCACCAGGGATTACACCTGTCATATATTCACTACCCCTACCATGGTTATAACTGAATACAAAATTAGATAAATAAAAACACGCCAGATATTACAGTAAACAAGTGAAAGAAATAAGCTGGCAACCATATGGAATTTAAAAAGATTGTGTACCCCACCTGGGCTGGCTCCAGGGCTCCTCCAGGGGTGTACAACAGGCACAATGCACTGATGGGGAGAAGCCGGTCTGCTCTCATCTCTCATCCAGAACAGTGTTAGGGGTGTGGGTGGCTTGGTAACTCTTTCACTGGGCCCACTCTCACATAAGCATCCCCCAAAGAAATGTGGGGCAGGCCCACACACAATCACAGTCCTGTCGGTGCCACTCCACAAACCTATCTTCTCACTCTTACCCTGCAGTCACAAGTGCATGCTCCCCAATCATGGAGGCGGTCCTGCTCGTGGGATCATCAACTCCTGATTAATTGGGAGTAGAAAAAATAAAATTCGAAGCATTCCCAAACCACTCCGTATCCTTCCTAATCAAATTTATTGCCAAAAGCTGGTAAGTAGCAATGCAATTGGCCTATATCCTGTCTCATTCCTCTTTTCCTTGTCTACTTACTTCATGGGTTACTGAGCTGTGAAATAGCTTGGGAAGGGGGAGTAGGATAGCAACAGTTGGAGGCTCAATCTACTCAGATAATCTGCTCCCGAATAATCAAGAGCTGACCATGAGCGTTTCTTCAAAGAGCCAGGCACCCTCCAGTCGGTGCAGGTTCCAAGCTTTACTATCCTTGCCTATTTCTTGGTGATCTTAAGACAAAGATAGGCAGTATTCTTGGTGGACACACATTGGCCAGATACCTGCTTTTGGAATGGTTGTCTTAGGATGAACATTCATATACCTACCTTTTTTCTTAAGTGCATAAAACCCTAACAGTACTCAGATGGCTTGGGGCTTTTGAGATTGGCTCTTTTCACTTTTTTTTCCTTTGAAAACTTTTTTTTTTTTTTTTTTTTTTTAAATTTAAAAAGATGTCCTCACTGCACAAGTGACTACAGGCTACAGGCAAGGATGGGAGACGGAGGCTTCAACACAACTCATTGCACTTAGAACCGTTACTAACTGAAACACCATTTGCTTGTCAACAATGTACCCTTGACAGCAGGGAGAAACTTCTTTATAGTCTCTGCTTCAGACAAGATTTACATCTTTCTCCAAGGCCAGAGGCCAATTGTGACCACAAGTCTTGTTTCTTGTCCACCAGACCCAATCCTCTGGCACCTTGTACCCCCCCTTCCCCAGCAATATGCTCGGCCTAGGTTCCAGAGGCAGCTGGAAGGAAGCAGCTATGGGCTCATTCAGTTCTGTTTGCCCAAATCCAGAAGCCCTAGGAAAGTCCTGTCTGAGTCTTGACTCCTGACCCTTGCAGTGGCTGGAGTCGGTACTGGTGCACACCCCCACTCCCACGGTGTGGGTAGTGCTGTGAATTGGAAACCGCAGATACCCTGGAGGCCTGGTAGACAGCTGACTGCCCAGCACTGGGCAGACTGATAGTCCGTAAGTCTGATGGCAATGATGACCTAGAGTTCTGAGGAAAGGAGGTGGAACTCAGAGTTCCTGTGCTGGACTGAGAAACCGAGTCTGAGGTTGGCGAGTCTGAGGGTCCCTGCAGGGTAGGGCTAGCAGCACTAGAAGGGCAGCTCCTCCTTGGAAGATTGCTGCCAGTGCTGTTTCCAGAATGTGGCTGGCTGCTAAAATACCCTGGTGTCCCCGTAAATGGGGCCAACGAGTCTGTGGACGCAGGGTGGGCCGGGCTGGAATAGGACGTAGAAGAGAGGGATGATTCTGAAGAACCGTGAGAGGGGGGGTTTCCAGGTCTCAGTGCAGTAGTTCGATAACTGTATCCTGGAGATTGTGTAGGATGTCCTCTGAAGGGGGAGGAACTCTGCTGAAGGAGGCTTTGTGATTCTGTCCGAGGACTATCACACTGCAGGAGCTAGCAAAGTTGGGAGGAAAAGAATAAGGAGGTGAACAAGTCCCTTAAATGGCTGACTTTTAATATAAATGGTAAACATTTATAATACCCTATGTTTTTTTTTTCTTCATCTTTTAACCATGTATTCTTTTTAGGAAATCAAAGGCAGTAAAATGTCTGTCTTTGATCACCTTATTCATTTTCTGGCATAATTTATTACCTGAGGGCAAGCAGATGATGACTTATTTCCAAAGTTGCTGAAACTATATGCAAAGACAGCATCTCAATGGCAAAGGATGGCCAGGACAATTTGGAACCCAGAACACACTCCTATATCTAGATATCAACAATTTCTCATCTCACCTGGTAGCTGTATCTGGAAGGGCTGTAAACAGTTGCTCCTTTAGAGAGTGCTGAGCTCAATGTCTCTGGACCTTCTCCATCTGCAGGGTCTGGAAGGTAACACATAAAAAAAAAATCAACTTGGCTTCTTAGAATAAGTAAGAAACAGCCATTGTTCATTCAAATCACCAATGCCATCACCAACCCATGCTGCTCTCTTTGTGACAAATTGGGTGAGTGCAGCATGCCAGAAGGGCAAAAGGAGTGGTTAATTATGGGCTATGTTCTAAATGCCTGATCTGATTCCCGTCTCCTTCTTTCTCTTCATCCTTCATCGAGGTAGATTTCCAGGACTTTGGAGAGATGAGAGTTACAGAAAGGTATTCCTTGGGGAAAAAAGAGCAGACAGAGAGCAAGCAACGCTAGATCTTACAAATGTTATAGCCAAAATGAGCACAAGTGGGCTAGAACCTAGCATATGGCAGAGCCCAACTGCTTCAGAAACTGACTCACCTCAACTCAGAACTCGGCATGAACTGTACAGGACTTGGCTCATGTGTCCCTGAATGTGGTGGCAGTAGAAGGCCATGGGCTCACCTGAGTCTTTCTCTGTGATGTTACTCTCCCACGTGGGAGAGGGCTCTCCCTTTTGGGCCACCCTCACACTGCTTCGGAGGACCTTGGGGATGCTTCCTCCTTCTCGAAGTCGTTCTACTGATGTGGGAACCATCCTGTAAAGGCAACAGGGTGCAAGTTCAAGCCATAGGACTTAACCAAAACAAATGAAGCCCTAACCAAGGTGCACAGTGTATTTTCTTAAAACATCCTCTTAAACAATACTTTCTTCAGAACCAATTTAAAACAAGGTATTTCCTCTGCCTCCAACTATGTCAGGCACAAAAGAGAAACATCATCATCATCATCATCATCATCATCAACAACAACCACAACAACCACCACCACCACCACTTTTAACAACAACCACCACCACCACAACAACCACTTTTAACAACAACAACAACAACAATCACTTTTAAAGAAAAAGAAATCAAGGAAAAAGTGGATTAAAGATGTCAACTTCCCCGAACCCCCATTTAAAAATGTTAAAATTTCTCCTTTGGGAAATCATGTGCCTGATACATAGTAGTGGTTTAATAAAGGTTTCATAGATTAATGAACATTAAACATATGAGCCAGGACTCTTCTTTCTCAGACTTATTTTTTCAGTTCAAGATCCCTGAACTCCTGTGCTTCATTCTCTATTTCACACATTTGATCCTCAGTATTTGCCACCAGTATTATTCATTTTTAAATTTGCGGTCTCCCCTAAACCAGACAAGTCCTTTCAGAATGTCTTTTTGCTCTGTATATGCTAACTGTGTGGAAGAGAGACATTTGTTGTTAATTCATGTGGAACTTGGCTGGATTCTTGACTCACCTTTCATGTGAAATGAGAAATAGAAGAGGCAGTGTTAGTGCCCACCAAATAAAAGAGCTCATCTGCATCCATAACTACATGTCATCCAAAGCGCTGCTCCACAGGCATATTGGTAATTCTTAATTCTGCAAAGCTGGGGGGTTGCAGCTGACACTATTAAATCAGCTGAACAGGACAGATGGTACTGTTGGCTGGCTGTCTCAGATGTTCCCATCAAGTGTTCCCATAGATTTTAGGTAAAACTGGGAATGATCCTAGATATATACTCCCCCCATCCCCAATTTAACTATAAAACATCAGATATAAACTTACCACCTACTGCTGATATTCTCTTGAGGTCTGCAGTGAGATGAAGAAGTGCCTCTGGAATCTGATGGGCTTACCGCCTCCAAATGGGACATAGAGGAATGAGATGGGGAGAATTTTTTGTGAGGGGAAGATGGGGTTCGGGCTGAGGATCCCTGCACACCATGGGCACCAGTGTCAGAAACGGAGTTACTGCTGCCTTGCCCAGCTCCTGCAGACTTGCTTTTGCTCTGGGCAGAGTCACCTCCCCCACCAGCAGAATTTTCCTTAGCTTCTTGTTTCCGTTTTCGGTACTCCAGCAGGGATACCTAGAAAGGAAAAAACAAACAAACAAACAAAAAATGGTACTCTAGCTGGATATCATTAGTGGATCACTAGCAACAGGGAAAGAAGGAAAGATGGTACCGTAGTAAACCACTAGCCAAGCCACGCCAACAAAGCAGATACCAACCCTGACAACTTTTTTTGGGGGGTGTGAAAGAGATCTGAGCACAGCTACATATTTAAGACAGCTGGAAATTGGTAAGAGGAAGATAATAAACTAGGAGGTAAGTTTCTAAAGAATGTTTGCCAATTAGACCACCATGCTTTTTTCTGTCTTCAGAAAAACTTGTGAGGTTACTGTTACACAGTAACAGAAGTGTGCTATCATAGTTATTTGCAACAGTGGGAGTACCCAGAGAAGGGAGAATTGGAAGCTTGTATAGTTTAAAAAGCCTCCCAGGTGACTCTGATGGCTCTTCTGCACTCCTTGGAAGTCCCTAGAATTAGCTGTTTGAGAGCATGAGAGAGAGACAGAAGCAGGGAGAAGAGAAGAAGGAGATGGAGGACAGGGAGGGAGAGAAAGAGAGAGAGAGAAGGGAAAAAAAAAAAAAGAAAAAACCAATGCTCCAGAGTACTTAAATATGCTCAATTTTTCAAGAAATAAATAGGAATTTATTATTGTTTCTGTTAGACATAGATGTAATTAATGTAAAAAGAGAGGAAATTATTATTTCCAGTTTATACTTTTAGCAAGCTAGCTCTAGAAAACAACTTGGTAACTTCTCCCCAACTTCCCCTTCATCTCCCTAACACTTGCTCATTCTTTTCTGACAGCAGACCCCCCACCCCACCCTGCTGACCATAATCCCTGCCCTGCCTAGTACACCTCCTCTTTGTTGTTCTGGCACACTACTTACACAGGCCGTAGAACTTTCTACCGTGTCTTGATTGCTCCCTGACTAAACTCTAAGTTCTAGGAGGGCTTTTTATCTTAAACATCCAGCACAGAATTTGAATATGCTTAAATTTATGCTTAAATGTGCCCAATAAATTTCAGAAGTGTTTCTGAAATAACATATTATGATTTCTATGACTTTTGCACATAGTAAATATTATAAAACCAGAAATCTAAAGATTGTTTTCATCTTTGTTTCTGGTAGTCAATGCTGTTCATGCAACGATCTTTGAAATCAATTACTATCCTAATCCAAATTATCTGCCAATGTTTCCTCCTCCTTCTATTCCCTTAGGGTTCTCATTTTTCTGTGCAAATGTAACAAATATAGACAGTTTTGCATATGCATTTTCTATACATAATTTTGGAAAGAAGTTAATAAATTCTGGTAATGAATATTATCATCACGAAAATATAAAAAAACCACTAAGTTTCATTTCAATGAGGATACTACAGATGTTTGGCCATTACGTGGTACTGTCCCCTACACAGGACATTCAGCATCCCTGGCCCTGCTCAATAAATGCAAGTCACTGGGACAATTCAAAACACTCCAACACATTCCCAAACACCCCTAGTTGAGAACCATTTATACAAAAGCACATTTTTGGCTTTGTGACTTCTAGATCAGGCATTACTTAGAAGTGGAGTCCCCACCCATTTGCAAGCTCTCTATGGCCTGGCCCATCCCAGCACTCTCTGCACTTTCCTCCTGGCTCTCCCAGCCTTCCACCTGATACAACAACATCCAACTGTTTGCACCACACTGCATGCCTGCTGCCCGCCCAATGGGGTGCCATGTAATTACCTGTTCTACTCCCTCTACTGTAACATGCCTCACCCTCATTTGTTGGTTGGCTGACTCCTACTTATTGTTTGAGATTCAGCTAAATCAGTAACCTGCCACCTCTCTCTCTAGCCTTATCTCTCAAACTGGGTAGTATCCTGGTCCTTCCATTTACTAGCTGTGTGACCATGGGAAAGTTACTCAACTTGCCTTAGTTTCCTCGTGTGCAAAATGGAAAACTGCCTATCTTATAGGCTTACTGTGAGGATAAAACACATTTAAAGAGCTTAACACAGTGCCTAGAACTTGGGACACACTACATAATAGGTAAAATTTCTTTTTCACTGTTCTAACCTCTCAATTGTCTAGCAAGTGTATGGCACATACAGGCATTTACATTTGCTGAATATTTACAACACTCACCAAGTTGTATTAAAACAGCCTGTCTTTCACTGGATATGGCAGAGACTATGTCTCACTTGTTTGAGAGTAGTGCAGAACACATAGCAGAAACTTACGAATATCTACTTAATTACTTGGTTAACATTCTTGAAAAGTTCACCGATATAACATGAAACACTTACTTTTTTCCTCTGTGGTGGGTTCTGGGGGGCAGATGGGACTCCTTCACAGGCCCTTTCCCCACCAGGTGACAAGGATCCACGAGAGAGGTCTTTCATTAAGCCATGTTCATATCTGCTGGAAAATCCTTCTGCAGGCGAACAATATCCCCCATCCAAATGTAAAGGCTTCCTATCCCCGACTAGAGGAGAACCTCGATACAGTCCATCTGCTCGAGGCATAGCGTTCAAAGGGGAGTAGGCATACATCAAGTTGAACTCTGTCCGAAATGCCTGGTCTGAGTTTCTCACGAGGGTCTGATGTCCATCTCCACTTCTGCTTGGGAAACCAGTCTCAGAAGTGGGTCCGATGGAGGGATGAGGAGCCAGGTCAGAATGACCAGAGTTGAGTAGGGAAGGTCTATCAGCACAGCTGTTAGTGTTGGAGTCAAGGTATCCTACTTTTGCCAAATCCAGGTCTTTTCGGTGACAAAGCTGAAAGAATAAAAATCAACGGAGACATGGGGTAGGGGAGAAAGGAAAAAGTCAAAGGGCAGAAAGGAGGGGAGAGGGACACAGGTGAACAGGGAAAGATAAGAGGGATGGAAGTAGAGCAGATAAAGCCATTATATTCTGTAAAAGTCCCACGTAGCAACAGTGTATATAGGCCAGAGTACTAAAGAATCCTGGCCTTTCCCAAATTGCTTTCAAGTCTTTCTGGATGGGAAATACTGGGAAAGTTAGGTAATTGGCTAAATGTGACTATTTTGCCTGCTTAGCCTTTCATCAGGTTGCTGAGTCACCTTGTACTACACTAAGGGACAAGTGGTATAATAAGGAATTTATCTTAGCCCCATGCACACTACAAAGGTGAGACTGGTGTCTTAAGATAACTGGCTTCTGGGGTTATCAATTTCTAAATTAATATTGATGCAAGGTGGGGGGGAGGGAAAAAGGTGGAGGAAGAAGAAAGTAGACGGAAAGGCAAGTATTTAAGTTACTGGTTCAGTAAAGGAGGATGGCATTAAAGACATCAACCAACCAGTTCTTCACTCACTTTCACTGTTAAAGAAGGTGTGTTTCTCATACAACTTTCTGGCCACTCAGTTCTTCTTTCTTTATCCTCTAATGTATGTCAACATACCACAAGACCACTAATGCTCATCACTGCAGATTCTGAAATGCTGAAATGTACCAAAAATAAACCCCACCTACTATTTGGTTATCATAACCTCCAAACTTCCAACACTAGGTCAACTACAGCTAACCACCTACAAAGAATGGTACCAGAAAACCAGATACCATACCATATCAGTCTTCAAATTATGCTATCTTAGAACCTTTTAACAACTGAGGAGAGAGAGCTTTACTTTCCTAACAAGCTAGAGTCAAACCACCAAGAAAATCTCTAATATACTAGTGGAATACAACCTTTTTCAGTTTCACATTAACCTATCAACTACTACTGATTCAGAACTTACTAGACTGTCACTGAATTATGCCCTAATTTTTTATTGGAAGGGGTTGGGGTTAAAGTTCAGTTGAATATTTCTGAGAGACTCTAACTTTCTCTTCAAGAGAAAAAAGGTCCCATGTATTAACAGATTCAGAGTTCATTGTTATTACATCTGAAAGCTTATAATAGAAACTCTAGCACTAAAATCTGAGTTTGACATATCCACAGCAGAGGGGTTTGTGAGAAAACCACTCTACTGATATCCTAAGAGATAACACTTGTATAGCAACCATATCCTAACCATTGCAGAATGGTGGCCTATGACACAAAGCCAGGGACTCACTTGGTTTCCTTGTGCACCCAGTAAGGAGCTACAGAGAAAATGTAGGAAAGCTGAAAGACAGAATGACTTTCCCTTCCTGAAGAAGCTGCTCAATCTATCAACCAAAGGCCAAAACATCTGGTTTACAGAGCTGTTAGATTAACCCTAGAACAAAGCATAAGTCACCACCCAACTCAAAAAACAGCTCTTACCAACTTTTGACTCAATTTTCCTTATTTATTAGCCTTTCTTTAACATGGCTCCTACCACATATCAGCATCTTGACTTCTAGATTCTATTCTTTAATAGAACTCCAGCCACCCCCTCCCCCAAACAACAAAAACCAACCCCACCAAACATACACACACCACACACTCACACATACCCCTACTTCATTTTCCTCCATCTACATTGACAGGCCTGTGTAGTCACAGTCACACAGGAAGGCTCCTTTAACTTACTGTGACTGAGTGGCCGCCCTCCAGCCCATCACCCCACTCACTCAGATCCCCAGCCCTCCCCACACACTCAGGAACACATTCATGAACACTCACTCTCAGCCTCCAAGTGTGATTGAGATGGTGTGATAACTACCTCGGGTGACAGGGACTCGGGCCTATGCGCAGGGGAACTCTCAGGGGAGGATATGTTCTAGAGGAGGGAAAAGCATCTTGTTATTATTCATCTACTCGAAGTCAAGAAGCAAAACAAAACAAACAAAAAATAAAAGCAAGCATAGATGTTAGCCACAACTTTTTTGGGGGGCGGAGAAGTTGAATAAGAATGCATAGGGGAAATATTTAACTGCAGAACTCATCTCGATGGACAGAATGACTTGTTAAAATGCTTCCTGGTATCTTTGAAAGCATTTAAGGATAAATTGGTTATAATGTTTCATGCTGTAAGTAAACATCTCAAGCACATATAAGGAAAGAGTTAGACTGGTGAAATTTTAGTGTTATACGTCTTTGTATTTTAGATGAGAGTTTAGCAACCTATAGTATTTGTTACTGAGGGGCATCCTACCCCTTATTCTTCCTTAGATGGACCTTGTTCCTTCACCCAATGCCTCTTCTGCTTGTCACATTTCTTTATTCTCTTATATGCCTCAGGTCCTCCCACTGCTATCCAGGGGGAGACGTTAGTGTTCTGGGGGCTGACCTGGTTAGGGAGATTGCCAGTTCTTCTTGAATGAGTTACAGGAAATGTGACTGATGGAATCTCTAGCTCACAGGCTAGAGGTGGTTCTAAGCATAATCTAATTAGACCTGAGCCACCCCTATTAATGTTATTTTGTAAAATCCATTGTACTTTTGGCAACAGAGCAGAAAAAGCATGTATGTGTATACTTAAGTCCCTGCCTCCTATAGAGGGTAGGATTTCACCTTGGGACTTTCAGGTGAGGCAGCACTCCCATTACAAACAGAGACTGAGCAGTGAGTGCTTAATGGAAAGATGTAAATGGGAACACGTGAAGAGAGTGATGGTGGTAGTGTGATAGTAATTCAGGGGTGCTAGGGCTGAGGTAAGGAGAGGGTGCCTAATGTAGACTCTGAATAACTGTGGCCTAGGTGGCAGGCATATGCTGAGGTAGGGGAAATGAGGCTGCTTCAGCAAAGCAGGGTTTTGGCTGTGAATTTTACTTGGCATGGAGAGTGAGTGGGTGGTATACATCTATGTGTGAAATGGTGACTGGAATATGGCTCTTAGGGCAAGAAAAGGAGGGGAGGCTTATTCTGGTAGAAAGGAGAGGCTAACTAAGCTTGCCCTCCCAATGTTGCTTCCACTGTTTTTTCTAGATGCTTTCCCCTCCTGAAAATCTTGTTCTGTTCTCTTCTACTGTTTATCTTCTTACCTTCTTCCCTTAGCACTTAAGGCTTCTCACCATTTTCCTGAATGCTTTTTTCCTTTTCAAAAATATCCGTCCCCAAACTAATATGCTAAAGTGTTTTTTTTTGTTTTTTTTTTTATTATTATGAGACAGAGTCTCCTTCTGTTGCCCAGGCTGGAATGCAATGGCGCAATCTTGGCTCACTGCAACCTCTCAGGCTCAAGCAATTCCTGTGCCTTAGCCCCTCCAGTAGCTGGGATTATAGGTGTGTGCCACTGTACCTGGCCTAAGCTGGTCTTTTAATTAATTATTTTTAGAGATAGGATCTCACTGCTGCCCAGGTTGGCATGCAGTGGCACAATAACAGCTCACTGCAGCCTTAAACTCTTGGTCTTAAGTGATCTTCCTGCTTCAGCCTCCCAAGTAGCTGGGACTATAGGTGTGTGCCACACCTGGCTAAGTTTTGTATTTTATTTTTGGAGAAATGTGGTCTCACTATGTTATCCAGGCTGGTCTCAAACTCCTGGCCTCAAGCAATCCTCCTGCCTCAGCCTCCCAAAGCACTGAGATTACAGCTGTGAGGCACCATGCCCAGCCTAAGCTGGTCTTTACATGCGAAACCTTTTTGATATTTCACAATGTGTCACAGCCTTTGATACAAAAAAGCCTCCCCACCTCTCTGTACTAGAACACAGCAAAGAGTATGGCTATTAAAATGGTGATTAGAATGGTTCAGGGTGGTGAAATCTGTTCTATTATTGATGAGAAAGGTAAATTTTCCTTAAATTGCAAGTGAAACCATGCCTTGGACCTTTTACTATTTAGTATTTTCCTTCCCTCCTGGTATTCTAACATTAAGCTTGGACTGTATTATTAAAATGACCAGCAATTAAAAAAAAGAAAACCAAAACCACTTTATATTTGCAGTGTTTAATAGTTATCCCAAATGTTACAAGGGATAAGGAACACACTGAGTGCTGAACCTGCTTGTTTTGGAAAGTGACTTACCTTCCAATTTTCTTTTTTTTTTTTTTAATGAGACGGAGCCTTGCTCTGTTGCCCAGGCTGGAGTGCAATGGCACGATCTTGGCTCACTGCAACCTCCACTTCCCGGGTTCACGCCATTCTCCTGCCTCAGCCTCCCAAGTAGCTGGACTACAGGTGCTTGCCACCACACCTGGCTAATTTTTTGTATTATTAGTAGAGATGGGGTTTCACTGTGTTAGTCAGGATGGTCTTGATCTCCTGACCCCGTGATCTGCCCGCCTCAGCCTCCCAAAGTGCTGGGATTACAGGCATGAGCCACCATGCCCGGCCTCCTTCTAATTTTCATAATCCCACATTTATAATAAAGTCTGTATTGATAAAGTATGAAACTCTATTCCTATAATTTTAGGCCCTCCCAGGAGAATTCCTCTCATGATGCCTTACTGTAAAGCTCTAGGTGCCAACTGCAAAGTCAACTGCAAGTAGACAAAGTTAGAAAGGCTTGAATCAGCTGCTGTATTATCTGGCTGAAAGAATTCCATAAAGAATCCGGTAAAGAGTAATTTCCCTAGATAACTCATATGTAACCAGGAGGTTTTTTCCCTCACCCAGAAAGAGGTCTGCTCCAAAAGTAGAGATCTAGGGTAAGACATAATATAGTTCTACTTTCAATGTTGCTAGCTACCTCTTAGTTACTCATATAAAAATCCAAGTATTCTGAATCCTCATACTTGGAAAAGCTGAATAGGAAACGTAAGACTGGTTAGGACGTTCACCTTTCTCAAAAAACACATCTGGAGAAGTGCAAGCAAGGGGGCAGAGCAGCAGAGTGTGTTTAGTGGTCAGAACAAATTTTTCTGAGAAGGAAGGAAGAGACAGTGTCCATTTTAATTACAAATCAAAGTAACATGCAATAGATGAAGTGTTTTAAAAAAGTATACATGGATTCTATTGAAACCTGCTGTCACCCGAACCTGAACACTAAAGTGATTCAAAATCACTTTTTGAAACAGCTGAGGCAGACATTTCTAACTTAATCCCACAGTGAAGGTAATAAATTTGTCTCATGAATACATGTTGCTAGTCTCCTGTCTACTTCTCATTCCTAAGACATTATAACAAAGAGGGAAAGTAACCTGGAGTGGAAAAAACCTGCATTCGCCATAAGCCATACCCCAATGTTTTCTAAATCTCTGTTCACTAAGGCCACAATGAAAATACCAAACAACCTGGGAAAGACACTTCACTTATTTAAAGGCCTAGAAACGAAGACACAATCAATCAATATCATCTGTGCTCTCAGGCTGGTGTTACTAACAGATACTACAGGCAGCTAGAGGCCTATTTTGACCAAAGTTTACAGTAAAGATAACGATGGAGATCTAGCATGCTTACTACCTAAACATATGGAGACTGATGGACTGCATGCAAAAGATACACGAATGGGATCTGTGGTAGCACTATGCCTATTTTGGGAAGTATAGGGGCTGCCAAGATGAGAGGCGACCAGGTAATAGGCCACAATGACCCTGAGGTTTCCCATTCTCTTACTGAGATGGGGAAGGAAGATAGTAAAGAAATATTTGGAATGGTATTATATTTGAAATGAGAAGGTACAAATGGTGATTTTCATATCCAGCACTCCCGGCAACCAAACCCAAATCACCTCAAACTGCAGAGGAGTGTTGCAGCGACTAGCAGTAGTAAGAGATGTGACTGGTGAAAACATGAGGCTGTATCCATTTCGACACTCCTCTTCTCCTGGGTGAGATGAGCCAGGCGTGGCCAGCTGGGGGCTCTTTGAGCCTGAATTGGGAGGGGGTGGTGTGACTGGAGACAGAGGCCGAAGTAACTTGGTGACATTCTGCTCCATCAGATAGCGAGACTTCCATTTCTTTAATGGGCTCAACAAGTCTGTGAAACACAAAGCTTGGATGAGAGTTTGAAATCACAGATTAATTTAAGGCTCTACAGTAAAGCCCTTAATCTGTAATCTACAATGGCTCTTAACTGTCTTCTGCCTCATCCCATTAAGTTATCTCCTCCAATCAAGCCAAAATCCCAAAGAAACTCTTTAATTACCACACTTAAAATAATTCTGAAAACATTCTATCTCCCAAACTCCAGGTAAATCGAATGTGACTGATCTCTAATTTAATTTCTACCAGTGCAAAATATAAAATTCTTTCATTTATTCATTTATGTATGTATTTATGAGACGGAGTCTTGCTCTGTTGCTAAGGCTGCAGTGCAATGGCGTTATCTTGGCTTATTGCAACCTCCATCTTCCAGGTTCAAGCAATTCACTGCCTCAGCCTCCTGAGTAGCTGGGATTACAGGCACGCACTACCACACCCGGCTAATTTTTGTATTTTTAGTAGAGATGGGGTTTCACCATGTTTGCCAGGCTGGTCTTGAACTCCTGACTTCAGGTGATCTGCCCGCCTTGGACTCCCCAAGTGTTAGGATTACAGGCCTGAGCCACTGCTAAATTTCTTTCTTTTACATTGAGTTTCTGAAAAGTCTTTGTTACTGTGTTAAAGTTACCCTCTACTAAACTGCTATATCACCAACTAAAGGTACTGGGATGCTAAATCCAAATTCCTTTCACCATCTCTCATATATTGTGTCCCTTTTCAGAAGCTCTTTCTATAATGTTCTTGTATGATTTCCTGATCCATGTCTAGCCCCTTTTCTACCTAAAAAGCGTGAAATGATTTCTACAGAAACTTCTCTCAACCATTAAAAAATTAGGTTTATATTCGTTTTTTTTTGACTAGAATAATCCTATTTTCTGTATTTCTTAGATCCACTTAAAAAGCAAGTTACCACACTTAAATATTTTAGTAACCATTTAGGCCAAAGCACCTTTCTCACTTGATTCTCGGAATAAAAATACAGTTTTATTCATTTATAGTTAAAAAGATATGTATTTATTTAATACCTACAGATTACTGAACTAGGTATGGAGGGAAAAATGGTCATCATACAGTCTATTTTCAAGAGGCTTAAAATTTGTAAGAAATAGAAAGAAGGCCAGGTGTGGTGACTCATGCCTATAATCCCAGCATTTTGGGAGGCTGAGGCAGGCAGATCACTTGAAACCAGGAGTTTGAGACCAGCCTGGCCAATATAGCAAAACCCTGTTTCTACTAAATACACAAAAAAGATTAGGCAGATGTGGTGGTGGACGCCTGTAGCCCCAGTTACTCAGGAGGTGGAGGCACAAGAATCACCTGAACCCAGGAGGCAGAGGTTGCAGTGAGTTGAGACTGCACCACTGTACTCTAGCCTGGGTGACAGAGCGAGGAGACTGTCTCAAAAAGACAAAACAAAACAAAAAAACCAAAAGCAAAAAACAAAAAGAGAATATATTAGTAAGATCAAGAAAGGTGATCATATTGCTATGCATTAGTTTAAAAAAAAAAAAGCTGTATTCTAAATGATTATTATATACTACGGACTATGCCATGTGCTTTATTGTGAAATATCTAATTTTAACAACTCCTTAACAAGCACTATTATTAACATCCCCATATTAAAGGTGAGAAACTTGATGTGTGGAGAGAGACAAAACAGGTATTCTTGCTCCCATCTATCTACATTCTTAATTTTTGTATTTTTAGTAGAGACGGGATTTTGCCATGTTGGCCAGGCTGGTCTGGAATTCCTGACCTCAAGTGATACACCCACCTGAGCCTCCCAAAGTGTTGGGATTACAGGCATGAGCCACCACGCCTGGCCCCATCTTTCTATATTCTTAATCAATAAAGTATATCCCCAAGGCTTGGTGGATGGAAGGAGTGACATTTATTCCAGGCCTTCAAGGAAAATTTTTGGGTCAGAAAGATTATCTGGAAGCAATGGTCAGTATGAGACTAGTAACTGGGAAATCATCTGGAGTTAATACAGTAGTTAGCAAAGAGTTACGAGGCACTAAACCAGGGTAGGAGATGTTTAGATGAAGAGGGAAGAATAAATGCAAAAAATTATTGAAGATGCATATTTTTCCTTTCTGGTATCTCAGAATTTTTAATATTCCTAGACTGGAAGTATATTCACATTTTCCTTTTGTTCCAGACACTAAATTTTCTTTCCTTCTTTTAAAAAGTGCCTAGGTATAAAACAGAAACAAACATGTAATTCATGGCTTATATTCGGAATAACTTTTACATATTTAATATTTCAAGGGTCTTAAACAACGGAATCTTTCAGAAGATCTCTGTACTGCTAGGTCCAACCCTATAACTACTAAAGTCAATTATGTTAAGTGATGAAGTTAGTTGTAGAAAAAAGAAGATACAGGTGAAATCTGCCATGTGCAAATCAACGTACATGGCATTCATTCAACATATATTTACTGAGTACTTGTTATGATACTGTATTCAACAGGAGACCTGATGTCTGCCCTTAAGAAGTTTACAGGCCAAAGAAGGCCAAATAATTTGCCCACTTTTTCTCTTTTTCCTGCATACATAGTTTTCAAATTTTATATGGTCAAATCTATCCATCTTTTATTTATTTTTTAACCTTTACTCAAAAAATTACCAAGGTTATATAAACACATACACAACCTGAAAATCACATCCACAAATAAACGCATGATAATATCCTGGTAAATTTTTATCCAGACACTGCTTCACTGACTCTTGCCTTACCTACACTACTCAATAACTATTTTCACTCAGAAATACATGGTCAACATTTTTTTTATGATAATGAATAGAAATCTACAGTTCAGGTTTAATGGCTGCACAACATTAGTATTATCAAAATTTAATCAATTCAAGTATTTTTCATTTTTTGCTACAAGAACAAATGGCTACATATAGGATTATTAAATCAAAAAAATATCTACACATGTGCAGTAACTTTATTTTTAGTCCTGTGAGAACTGCTGGCTCCTGTTCTTTAGCCTGCATTCTACTGGGGTGTTGGGGTCGTCTTCTTCATCTGTAAGAGCTCTTTAAATAGTAAGAATGTTGACCCCTTGTCAATAAAATTACAAATGTATTTTCCCAGTTTACTGATTGCTTTTCAATTTTATTTACAAGTCTCTGCTATATGTTTTATTTCTATTTAGTCAAATGGACCACTTTATTTTCTGCTTCTGATATCACATCTTTGCTAACCCACCCTGACATTGTAAAAATGCCAGCCTATTTTCCTTTTATCTCCATGTTTAATTTTTAATTTAGATCTTAATTTAAAAAGAACATATTTTATTTCACACTGACAAACTGCCATTAAAAAAAAAAAGGAAAAAAGAACATACTTAAGTATGCGGTAGCAATTAATCTGTTCTCTTCCTATAGCAAATAGCTAGCACCTTCTTCCAAAATCTTCTGTAATTGTAGAATAACTATAATTTTCCCATTAATTTGAAATATCATATTTATCTTATTAGATTCTTACATATGCTGGGTTTATCTTCAACACCAGCATACTTTTTATTAAAATTGTTTGGGCAATTCCAGTTATTCTATTCTAGTTCTCCAAAATGTTTTAGCTATTTTAGCAATGAACTAACTATAGAAGTCATTCAATGACCATGCTCATACTATTTTTAAAAGGTTAGGATTCTGATTGGTGTTACATGAAATTCAGGAGTAATCTGAGAAGCATTCTTACTCAGGAACATGGCACAATCTTTGTTCTTCACATATTGATTTATGTCCCTCTTCATCTAGATGTACCACATGTCTAATTAAGTTTACTCTTCAGCGTTCTTTAGTTTTTTTTTTTTACTACTATGAAAAAAACATATCTCCCCCTTTGTTATCTAAATGTTATTAACATTTAAAAAGTTTACATACTTATTTTTTATCCAGTTACCATATTAATCTCTACCAGTTTTTCAATTAATTCTCTAGGTAGATAATAGTATTTCTACATGATAACACATTAGTACTCTTTACCAGTACTTACATCTCTTATGTTGATTTTCTTTTTTTTGCGGGGGGAGGGAGGTATAATTACTTTGGCTAACAATTACAGACTATATTAAATAATAATGGTAATAGTGGGATAATTTGATTGCCTATTTTGATGTTTAGTTTTCATGATGCATGACAACTGGCAACTTTTTCAGCTACATGTTAAAAAATCGTAAGTATGTTATCATTAAATTGGTAACAGTCACTGTGTTATGACTTCTCCTCCCTCATTTGACCTGTTAACAAATGAATGTCATTAAATTTTCAAATATTAACTTATCCTTACATTCCTAGAAGGACCTTAGTTATCATATATTATTCTTTTAATACTCTTACAAATTCAAGGTGCTAGTTAAGATCACAAATCTAATTCAAAAGTGGTACTATGCTGTTTTAGAGGGCAGAGGGAGTTAATTTGATAAAATGAATCAAAAATAAAAATTTCAATAAATACTATATGATACTCCATTACAAGTATGTGCACAAGCAGATAAAATTACAAATTCTACCATTCCTGGGGTTGGAATTCAGATTATTTTTAACCTATAGTTTTTGCAATTGTTAATAACTAAGAATTAGTTATTCTAACAACCAATTCATTCAACTTTTGAAGCTGTTGAACAAATCTGACTACAAAGTTTTGTCTCACCCACCAGGTTCACCTGACCTCTCGCCAACTAAGTACCACTTCAAGCATCTGACAATTTTTTGCAGGGCAGGTGTTTCCACAACCAGCAGGACGCAGAAAATATTTTCCAAGAGTTTGTCGAATCCTGAAGCATGGATTTTTATGCTACAGGAATAAACAAACTTATTTCTCATTGGCAAAAATGTGTTGATTGCAGTGGTTCCTATTTTGATTAATAAAGATGTGCCTGAGCCTAGTTAAAGTGATTTAAAATTAATAGTTCAAAACCGCAATTACTTTTGCACCAACCTTATATATAAATTTTGGTTTCTGTGTCTATTTCTGTAGGAAACATACCAAGCAGAACAAATGAATGACTACTAGGTTAAGGATTATGAATATTTTTAATGTACACGATAAATCTTATCAAATTGCTAGCAGGGCTCTCCTGTCAGTTTTACTGTAAATCCTTTCCCCAATGTATTAATCCTCTATTAATTCAGAGGCAGGACAGACACAAAAACATGGTTAATACAGATTGAATTATTTATTATTTTTAGAGATAGATGTCTTGCTGTCATTCAGGCTGGAATGCAGTGGCATTATCAACCTCACTGCAGCCTCAAATTCCTGGGCTCAAGCCACCCTCCTACCTCAGCCTCTCTAAGGCTACAGGCAACACACCATCATGCCTGGCTAATTTTTATTTTTTGTAGAGATGTGGGTCTCTCTCTGTTGCCCAGGCTGGTCTCAAATTCCTGGTTTCAAGTGAACCTTGTGTCTAGGCATCCCAAAGAGCTGGAAATTGCAGGTGAGAGTCACCATGCCAGGCCCAAGTTTGAATTAAAAAATATATATATATATTTGAATGTGCCTAGAACTTTCTTTGGCAAAGGACCTTGTTTTTTTAAAGACAGGGTCCTGCTGTGTGGCCCAGGCCTAACCTGACTCCTGGGCTTGAGTGATCCACCTACCTCAGTCTCCAAAGTAGTTGAGAGTCACAGGCATGTGCCACTGACAGTCCAGCTAGAATCTAATTCTTTTTCAATCTCCTAAGTAAAAATTCCACGACAATTTACCAACTTTTACATTTATATTTAGGCCTGTTCTGACTATTTTGTTCCATATATACATTCATTCTTGCATCAATATTATACTAAATTTAACTATTAGCTTCATACTAGAAGCTAGTCTTACACCTCAAGAGAAAGTACTTCATTATTATTTTTTCAATTTTTTCTTATTTTTTAAAAGGTAGACTTCAGAATCATTTAATCAAACTCCAAAAACAAGGCCGTTTCATGGGAACTAAGAGAGAGAGAGAAAGAAATATATATATACACAAATATATAATCTTTCCATAATGAACATGAAATTTATCAAAGGTTCACATATGTTTCATGAAAAAAAGAAAAAGTAAAAAAGAAATTTCAATTTCCTCAGACTTTAAAAATATTTCTCAGTAACAATTTACTCCATATATCCAACTAAGGTTATTCCTAGGCAGTTTCTTAGTTTTGTTAAATTTGGTAACAAAAAAATTGGTATTCATTTACTTTCTTAGTATATAAATGATTTTAAAAAATACATTTATACATTTACTCTTCTATCCAGTAATATTAATAAACTCATTATTATAAAAAAATTTTTTTTTTTTTTGAGACAGAGTCTTGCTCTGTCACCAAGCGGAAGTGCAGTGGCATGATCTCGGCTCACTGCAACCTCCACCTCCTGGGTTCACACTATTCTACTGCCTCAGCCTCTCGAGTAGCTGGGACTACAGGTACCCGCCACCACGCAGAGCTAATTTTTTGTATTTTTAGTAGAGACGGGGGTTTCACCGTGTTAGCCAGGATGGTCTTGATCTCCTGACCTCGTGATCCACCCGTCTCGGCCTCCCAAAGTGCTGGGATTACAGGTGTGAGCCACCACGCCTGGCCTAAACTCTTACTATTAATTCTAAGTTTTTCAGATGATTATTTAGGCTCTTCTAGGAATACACCCACATCATTTACAAATAACGAACATCATGCCCCTGCCCTACTTTGATAATAACTTTTATTTCTATAAAGTTTCAGCTTTTAGGAACTTAGAATCTTTAATGTATTCATTTATTTATTTATTTTTGAGACGGAGTCTCACTCTACTGCCAGGCTGGAGTGCAGTGGCATGATCTTGGCTCACTGCAACTTCTGCCTCCCAGGTTCAAGCGATACTCCTGCCTCAGTCTCCTGAGTAGCTGGGACTGCAGGTGCACGCCACCACGCCCAGCTAATTTTTTTGTATTTTTAGTAGATACGAGGTTTCACCATGTTGGCCAGGATGGTCTCAATTTTTTGACCTCGTGATCTGCCTGCCTCAGCCTCCCAAAGTGCTGGGATTACAGGCGTGAGCCTCCATGCCCGGCCAGAATCTTTAATGTATTTATTAATACACAAATACTCTACGAGAGAGTATTCTGTTTAGAATAATGACCGTATAATAATTACTCTTACGGGCCTGATACTAAACTGAGAACTTTATATACATTATTCATTCTAATGTTAGTCCTATAAAGCAGGTATCGCTATTCCCATTTTACAGATGAGGCTCAGAGACTTTTTTTTTTCTTCTAAAGACAGAATCTCCCTCTGTCGCCCAGGCTGGAGTGCAGTGGCGCAATCTCGTCTCACTGCAACCTCTGCCTCCTGGGTTCAAGCAATTCTCCTGCCTCAGCCTCCCGAATAGCTGGGATTACAGGTGCGTGACCAGGCCCAGCTAATTTTTGTATTTTTAGTAGAAACAGAGTTTTACCATGTTGGCCAGGCTGGTCTCGAACTCCTGACCTCAGATGATCCGCCTGCTTTGGCCTCCCAAAGTGCTAGGATTACAGATGTAAGCCACCACGCCTGGCCTCAGAGACTTTTAGTAACATGATATAGTTAGTAAAGGGGACAGCTGGTTTTCAAATAAAGGTCTGTTTGATTCTATTATAGAAATCCTTTCTCCTTTCTTGATATCTCTTTGGTATTCTTGAAAAAAAAAAAAAAAAAAAGAGCCAACAAATAAAAATAATTCCTCAGAATTTATGCTAATTTTGTAGCAATATAACTTGCGCATTTGACAGCTGCTTGATTTTTAAAATCAAATATTTTCCTGTGTTGCTCTTTAAGGGCAAGGTGTGTCCTGTGAATGTTTCTCACTGTTAGACTAGGGCAGAAGCTCAACAACAACAAAAAAGGCTGGTGACTAGGAATCCTCATTTCCTTCTATCCAGGACATGTAATAACAAAGACACTTTTCCTATAATCCTTTGCTAGTCAGGATGTGAACTGCTATACAATCTCCTGTTCCCGACCTTAACTATACACATGCATTAACATACACACCATAAAGATACACAAACATGATAGTCTATTTCAGCTAAGTTATACTCTTACTACACCTTAAAAGCTGTTAAAAAAGAAATAATATAAATGGAAATCTGGTACCAAGATTTCTTTATAGTATCTTATTTGACTAAATCTCCCTAATCTTTGGTGAATACCAGAAGAAAATATTTTAAATAAACAGTATAATTAATCTTTCAGATAAATGGAATTTTATTATCCTGATACACAGGTGGTAACTTATGAGGTATAATCTAATCTAGAGACAGAAGAATACACCAAATCCATAATTTAAAAAACGGCAATTCACAGCCAGGCGTGGTGGCTCATGCCTGTAATCCCAGGACTTTGGGAAGCCGAGGTGGGTGGATCACCTGACGTCAGGAGTTCAAGACTAGCCTGGCCAACATGGTGAAACCTGTCCCTACTCAAAATACAAAAATTTGCCAGGTGAGCAGGCGGGTGCCTGTAATCCCAGTTACTTGGGAGGCTGAGGCAGGGAGAATTGCTTGATTCTCCATCTCAAAAAAAAAAAAAAAAAAAAAAAGGCAATTCACATTTTCCGAAATAAAACCTAAAAAGAAGTAAAATCCAAATGAAATAAGAACTGTAATAAAAGTTCTGATTTTAGTTGCAATATCTGCTATTAAAAAATTATCTAATTAAATTCAAGTTCATTACATTTATTCAGCATGTTGGTAAACAGGAACAATGAGGTGGTTTTTTTATGAAAATCTGAAATATTCTGTTTGTTGCAACCTGAAAGGTTGCTTTAGCATCCAATTTACTTTGGTATTTTGACTGTCTAATATTTAAAAAACTGATTTAGAGACAAAGTTATGAAAATCACAAAGAACTTTTCAATTAAGCTGATAGTTGCAGGAGAAACTGTGGTAAAAAGATTGTCACAAAATACATTAAGATATCACAAGTGCTTTCAATTAGATCCTTTGCAAGTCACTGTGAAAACCAATGGACCAGATGATTTTTCATTGACATCTAGTTTAAAAATGCACAAGGACTTTAGATTTAAACCTGTCTGAAATTTTTTTTGTTTTTGAGATGGAGTTTTGTTCTGGTCGCCCAGGGTGGAGTGCAGTGGCATGATATCGGCTCACTGTAACCTCCACCTCCTGGGTTCCAGCAATTCTCCACTGCCTCAGCCTCCCGAGTAGCTTTAGGGAGGGATTACAGGCACCTGCCACCACACCCAGCTAATTTTTGTATTTTTGGTAGAGACGGGGTTTCACCATGTTGGCCAGGTTGGTCTCAAACTGCTGACCTCAAGGGAGCCTCCCATCTTGGCCTCCCAAAGTGCTGGGATTACAGATGCGAGCCACAGCGCCCAGCTGTTCTTTTAAAAATTGTATGCTAATTATATAAGCCCCTTTGAAAACAATCAATTGATAATAATTTCTCACTTATTTCATTCATCCCCTGCTCCCTCAACCATGTCCCACCCAACTTAATCACTTAGAATTTTAAATCTTTCCTGAACATTAGTGTTCCACCACTTTCTTGCCCTTTCCCCATCTTATAAATATGAATATAAATTTCCTAAACTTACTACTTTAAATGTATCTAACCTTTTTTATAACCATTTCTGCTGTTATCTGTACACTGTCTAGTCCTTCTTTGTCGTCCTGGGAAAACTGATCCCTGACTTGAGATCTCTCTCTTCCTCTGTAAAGACAGATGTAAAGTAACTATTTAGAAAACACGCCATTTCTTTTTGTTATCAGAAGTACTCATACTGAAATTTTTTATGCAGACCTGAAACAATCATTGGTCATATATTCAGAAAGGTTTTACATACGTACCTGCGTTGTCTTTGCAGATACTGGAAGAGCTACTATTCTCATTACTTTGGTATAGGTGCTGAGTTCTAGTCTCTTGGGGTACAGATGATGTTTGAGTCATTCCTTCTTCTAAGGCTTGTTTTATCCAGCGCTATAATTGGAAAAGAACCAGAGAATTATCAATAATTATTTAAAACCATTTAGTAAACCTGTTTTAAATGTACATCAACTGGTGAGTGATACAATTCAACACACTAATTCAGTTACACAGTCAAGCATTTTATTGTCTTGTGTCTCAGCATATTGGAACATTGTCCTATCAATTCCTTTTAACTGACAGAATTGAGGAAAACTGGATTACATATAATGAGATCCCATCAAAAGACAAAAACCAATAAAAAATGATTACATCTTTTCATACTGTTTGGGATGGTGTAAAACGGCAAGACTTAGGAAGAAATCTTAACATTTATTTAGGAGAGACTCTGATCGTATAGAATAAAACTAACACATAAAATAAGTGCCTAGAAGGAAGATAAAGATCTCTTAAAAGTTGTCTGCCCTGTGCTGGAGACAAGTGAAGTGGTAATAAAAAAGATTCATAGGAAGACTTTGGATGAGAATTAACAGCTCTTCACTACAGGTACCAAAAGGTTTATCTCAAATGAAATAACCTATGGGATCCCCCCTCCAACAAGTAGTTTGGTTAAATTATGCATGAGTAATGCAAATCACAAAATGAACTTCTGTAGACATAAAAAAAAGGGAAAAAGTCAAAAAGAAGACCTATCAGTCACAAGTTTTTGGTAGTAAAGATTAGAATAATAAATTGACGAGAAATAAATTTAGGCGAGATAGTAAGCCTGCAAAGATTAGGATAGTAAGATTATGCATCCTGTGGAAGACAGAAAATTTCTTACCTGTAATTGTGTTCTCTTAAGATATACAGTTGTAGGTTGCTCACCACTCTGTGGCTCTCCTGCCCTGACATAAGACAGATCGAATTTTGATAAACATCAATTTCTGAGTAAGACCCTCCCCCAACAGGAAGAGCAAAGGTGAATTATTATAATTTATACCTTTAGAGAACATGTATTACAGGTAAGTAAATATTCTCTTCACCAAAGAGAGCAATTCTTATAGATTTTCCCTCTTAGAAACCTAGGAAATAATCCACAAAAATTTTAGCAAAAAAAAAAAAAAAAAAAAAAACCCAAAAAACTTACGCCATACAAATGTCATTGTGGCTGGCCAAATGAAAGCAAAACTAATACTGTAAACATTTGGAAGGAAGAGTGAACAAGTGTATAAAAAAGAGCTCTCAATGGTAATTTGAATTCATCATATAAACATTTTAGGATACAACCAGGTCTCTGAAAAGCAAACACAAAAACAAAATCAAAAACCCCCAAGAACGAACTCTCTTAGATACAGAATATTGATGTAAAGATGAATTCTCAGAACCACACATATGAGCCTTAAAGCTTAGAAGAGAACTTAGAAGTCATCTTGTCCAAAGCACTCATTTTATAAATGGAAAAATTAGGCTCAGGAGTGAAAAATCTTTTGTTATAGCCACCTTTACGTTTTTCTTTTCAAAGCAGAAAACAGACTCATTTGGGGTCACTGAGCTTTCCTATATGACTAATTTTTTAATATTTCAGGGTCCAGTAGATGTACTCATAAAACAATTTACATTCTGGATCTGATGACTACAAAAAGGGAACATAAAACCAGGAGTATTCTAGAAGAAAGATGCTACCATGGTTAGCTATGAGGTGAAACACAGCAAATACGATCAAACCTACTTCTCCAGGTTCTGTTGTATAATTTAACAATATTTCAGGACTCATATAAAAAAGGAACATGGACATTTGTTTGTATCTAACAAGATACAATTAACCTCATGGATAATAAGTTAATTTTAAATGCAGCTACTCAGCAAGTTGTTAAAATCAAAAGAACATTTCTCCCTTCTCTGAAACTCTGTATTAAAGTATATTGCAAAAGAGTTTTCTGGAAGGCTCAAAGATGGATAAATGTTTTAAAAGTCTCATTATTATGGGGAAAGAACAAGGAAGTAATACAGGTTTTGGAGTCCAAAAGCCCTGGCTTGACACTTGGTTGTAAGGCTGGGCTCAATGACTCATATCTGTAATCCCAGCAGAATGAGAGGCCAAGGTGGGCAGACTCCTTGAGCTCAAGAGCTTGAGATCAGCCTAGGCAACATAGCAAAACCCTGTCGCTCCAAAAAATATGAATATTAGCCAGGCATAGGGGTGTGCCTGTGGTCCCAGCTACACAGGAGGCTGAGGTAGGAGGACCACTTGAGCCCAGGAGGTCAAGGCTGCAGTGAGTCTGTGATGATGCTACTGCACTCCAGCCTGGACAACAGTGAGACCCTGTGAGCCCTCACTACCCCCCACCAAAAGAAATTTGGCTCTTGTCACTAGCTGCCTCACTTTGGGCAAGTTACCAAACATTTCTGAGACAAAGCTTCTGGATATATAAATTTAGGAAAATGATTCCAATTTCATGAATAGTAAGTGAGACAATATACGTGAAGAAAGCTTATAGTACAGTACTGAACACTCAGCAGGTTTTCAACGAGTCCTGGTTCAACTAAATTCCAATGTTATGTTTGGAGATTTACAGATAATGCTCCAGTGTATAAAATGAAATATTAATATGAATGTAAAGCAGTGTTTCATTATCAGTCAGAATGGTTTTTCTAAGAAGTCTGGAGACCAAATGCCCTATACACATTGTGTTTAGAAGAGGAGTCTAGAGAGAACAAGGTAAAACACTACCGAAAGCCTTGTTGGCCACTTATAAATGTTTTTAAAATAACAGCTGAGGATCTAAAAAATGATATACTATAAAATGCTTTTTAAAAACTATGATTCAATTTAGAACCTCCAGGGATATCATAAAATGGTCTGTCAAATACTTGAATTCCTCCTCTTTTCAGAAGTAGCAAAATAATAATGATAAAAATAAAAATAAAAATAAACAGTATAAGAATCTGAGTACAACTATACAGATACAACTTTAATTTGTCCTACACTGGTAAGTTTTTAACTTACGAGGCCAGGCCCTCACCTCTTTAGTGAGATATGAAACAGTGAGCCTATGACCCTATTAGAAATATACATTGTTCTAAATAATCCCATGGAGGGCTGTTTTTCTCACCTATCTGATTAACTTATATTCTGAGGGATTTTCTGAATTTTATTACAATTTTGTTGAATAATGAAAATGTTCTTAGGTTCTGCATTAGATAAGACCTCTTTAACCAATCTAAGAACTCTTCTTCACTGCCATAAAGCCAAGTTCAATTCTAGCTAAGACATTCAATTTCATTGTATTTTGCCTCATAAAAAGCTGTATTTAAAAAAATAGACTCTTTGTATGTGAACAGCACACAATAAAGCAATGATTTAAACTTAAACAGTTTTTAAAGACCCTATTTAAATAGTCTTGTTATGATAATCCTGTGTACGCAGCCTAAACTCTTCCTAAAGAGTTTAGGAACCTTATCTAACCATGACACATAGATAAAAGTGCTTGAGTAGAGCCTGTATAAATGAGATTAAGGATAGTCAGATACATTTGGAGAATATAACACAGATTTGTGTTAAATGGAATTTCTATCTGTTGTCTGTAGAAATTTAAGGATGTGCTATAGATAGAAGTATAAAAGCAGAACCAGGTTAAAAAAGCTTAAAGAAATGCATTTTCTACCAGATTTGAAGTTACGGTCCTAGACACATGTTTTTGGTTTTTATAAGTCTCTGCTAGTTGGAAAAGATGGAAACAGAAAGACTGCAACCCAGCATTAGAATTATCAAGAAGGAATTTCAATTCAAGAGCCTAGTTCATATTATTTGCAGCTCAGATTTCATTACTAATCTGTACTAAATAATCACCTACACTCCTAAAAGGACTAAAATAGGAGATTGTATGACCTGGCTTGGTAAGATGCTTCAACAGTTAACATCCTTAGAAATGGTCAAATTTCTCTTTAGGAATTCTTCTACTAGGGTTTCCCCGAACAAACCAATGAGTGATTCCAATACTTAGGTAAGATGTGCAGTTAGGAAAAGACTTTCTGCAATGTGCTGCTCATTCAGCAGTAGCGTCCTTCCTTTTTGCAGATTCCTATTGCCCTCCTCCCCTCCATATCCCACACCACTTTGGCTCATCTTTCATGCCCCTCTCCCCCCGAGAAATAATTTCTGTTCTTTGGGGAAAGAGAAAAGCTTTAAGTTTGGAGGAGTCAGGGAAGACCTGCCTGGAGTTGGAGACTTCATCACATCAAATAATCTATATGCAGCATCCTCATGTACGTGATGCCAGTGGAGGAGGGCAATGGCAGACACTGAGGAAGGCAGCCTGAATCCAGATCTGAGGATAAGAGAAAAGGGTGTTCCAGGGAACAGACTCTACCTCAAAGGAAGACCAAATGAAAGGGTGTCCTATACTTCTAGAAACACGGAAAACAACATCATAGATCTGAGGGAGTGATCTATTCCTAAGAGACACCTTTGGAAAATATGCAGGGCTTCTGGGAATTAAGAAAGAGCATTCCAAAACACCACCAAATGCTACTGCCACTAGATCCAAAAACAGTAAGTAACTAGAAAGAGGAGAAAGAGGCAGAAACAGAGAGGGAGAGACAGTCTTTTAGGGTAGATTCCATATTCTCTGGGAATAAACAGTCCGACTTGTCATTTGATCAAGGAACAGGAATTATGCCAATTACAATAGGATTTTTCCTCTAATTTCCTTCAAGTGATGATAGTGGATAATAGTGGTTCAATTGATTCAAAACACAATTTAATTACTTTTCATTTATGCAACAGTGTTCTAGAGGACCCAGGGCCTAATCTTACACAATCATCATAAATGGACATGTTAACCCATACTACAAGAGCACACACAAAATATATCCGTCCCTACCCAGTCATCCACTGCTGTGTGCTCTCCCTCAGGAACCTCAAAGGTTCTCAGAAGAGACATCAGTGACCAGTCACAAATCTGAGCACCAAAAATGCAGTATATTCATTCCACCATAGTCTCACAGACTCTTGAAGAATCAGTATTTATGGCTGAACAACTAATTCATTATAAACTCACATGGGCAGAGTGGCTATTACAGAACATGTTATTTATGTTATGATGACAGGAATCTTAGGCTTAAAAAAAAAAAGCACACACACACAAACACAACACACACACAAAAACACAGACATACCTTCTTACAGGAGCTGAATGTGCCATCAGGCAGAAGGGGCCTTCGACGTCTCTCAGGGATAAAGGGTGAGCCAAAGCGAATGTAGTGTTTGGGGGTGGTGCAAATTAATGGGGAATGGATAAGACCTGGTAACATGTTTAGGGTCGTTGCCAGTACAGTTGGATCCGTCGTGATACGTAAAGGGCACTCAACGGGGCACTCTTGCTTCTCTGCTTTGTCATTCAACCATTCTGTAACTAGATACTAACGTAAAAAAGAGATCATTAATTTATAAATCAACAGGTAGCAGTGTAGTTAATAAAGACAAATGTCATCTAGAAACTAGGACAGAGGGAGATGCAGCAGCTACAGTATGAATTGGGCAACCAGAACACAAGGATATCTTCCTTCACCCTCTCCACGTCCACTAAGAGAGGAATAATTTCACCTATCAATGATTTAAGCTGACTAAAAATAAGGAAACAGGTAGCAGGATGGCTCCAGCCTTTGTGTCAAAGCATTTTAGAACTTTCAATCTAATAATATTGAGATTAGTTTCTTCTGGGGATTATAGGTCCTCTCATTTCACTAAGACAGCCCTTGCCAGACTGGACTTATAAAAGATGTATTTGTGACTCACCTTTTTGGTTTTGGGGTATTTAGATGCAGCACGGTTGACATGGGATCCAGTAATTGACACCACAGTTGGGTCAGACCCTGTTAATGGCCTGTTTTCTCCTGAACTGTCTATACTTCCAGCTTCAGTAGGAGTTACTAAACTGTTACTTCCTCCCTCTTCTAAGGCAGCTTGTGACAATTCTGCCTGCTGTGCATTGGCCTGTTTCTGACGCTTTAGTCTTTGGGCTGAACTGGTCCTGTACCGAGAAATTCGACTCTTCGGCCGGGGCCTAGAAGGCTTTGCTGGAGGTGGCTTGGGGACTGGTTTTTCTGCAGCAATATCCTGTAGCAATAGTAGGGTCAGATGTTTACCAAAAATGTTTTATCAGCTAACAGTCTAGTTTCCTATTCACATTAAGCATTCAGAATGTCTACTGATGAAAACTATAAGGATTAGAAACACTAATTTAAAATGTAATTCTTGGCCAGGCGCTGTGGCTCACGCCCGTAATCCCAGCACTTTGGGAGGCTGAGACGGGTGGATCACAAGGTCAGGAGATTGAGATCATCCTGGCTAACACGGTGAAACTCCGTCTCTACTAAAAATACAAAAAAATTAGCTGAGCATAGCTACTCGGGAGGCTGAGGCAGGAGAATGGTGTCAACCCAGGAGGCGGAGCTTGCAGTGAGCCGAGATCGCACCACTGCACTCCGGCCTGGGTGACAGTGCGAGACTCCATCTCAAAAAAAAAAAAAAAAGAAAGTAATTCTTAAATGCAAAAATGTATACACTTAAATGAGCTAAAGAGGCTAGAGACAAACGTTTGGGTTATTTCTATTTCTAATAAGCATTTATAAAATAGGCCAATGAAATGGTTCCAGTTACACAGTTAATGGCCTTATTTATTGTGATAGAGCGAAGGTGAAAAAACTGATTTTAAAAATTCCAAAAATTAGGTAATTGACATTAGCAAAGGTAAGGATGTCTAAGCTCTGAAGTCTTTTCAACTCTTACCCCTGCTTGGGAAGACCTCCGGGTATTCACACCAACACTCTGTGGGGTGCTTGGGATGGTAACATTTGAAGCAGAGTTGCTAACTTCAGATTCAGGGGCTTCAGTTTTTGTTTCTTCACCAACAGGAGTCTCTGAAGTGGTTGTATTAATCTCTACATCAGAGTTGCTCTGTTCCAAAGGCTGATCTCGCCGCTTCTTTCTTTTCTCTAAGTTTTCAAAAGCATGCATGATGGCTTCTACTTTTCTATCTTCCCTGGTCTAGAAAGAAATAGTATTGGTGTAGAAGAAAGCTTCAAATGAGGACGAGGGGACAGCCTTTATAAAAGTATTTTTAATGGAAATTTATAGAAATTCATTTAACTACTAGTAAGATGACACATATAACTTGGAAAACACAAGAAAAAACTAAAAATAAAATATTTCATTTTAAATGTGGGGAATAGTTGTAAATAAAGGCAAAGTCAAACATAAACTTTTCAAAAAGGGTCAATTATTTTGAAACTTTTTACTATGAAAACAGGATGGGTGCGGTGGCTCATGTCTATAATCCCAGTACTTTGGGATGGGTGCGGTGGCTCATGTCTATAATCCCGAGGTGGGAAGATCACGAGGTCAGGAGATTGAGACCGTCTTGGCCAACATGGTGAAACTCCATCTCCACTACAATACAAAAAATTAGCCAGGTACGGTGGCACATGCCTGCAATCCCAGCTACTTGGGAGGCTGAGGCACGGGAATCGCTTGAACCTGGGAGGCAGGGGTTGCGGTGAGCTGAGATTGCGCCACTGCACTCCAGCCTGGCGAAAAAGCAAGACTCGGTCTTAAAAAACAAAACAAAACAAAATAAAACAAAAAACTCATCAAATCAGGGTCATAAACACACAGGATTGGTTTCAGCATAAAAGCAGAAAATTTTAGTTCATACGACTAAAAGGGTTTAAAAAAAATTCAAAATTCACACAAACCTAGAAAACTCCTAATTCAGAGCAAACCAACTATAATACATTTTGATTCTGACTAGCCAGTTTTTCGGAAACCAGACTGTTATAAAAAAAACCTCTTAAAACCATCACTAGATAATAATCACTAGAAAACTACTGTGTGTATAAAGAAAAATAAATCAAAGAATTATAACAAAATCTTTATTATGAAAAAGCCCAAATTATAACCTCCAGGTCAAATCAATGAGATGATACAAAGTTAAGAGAACAGAAGAACATGATGGAGGTAGCAGGAATAAGAAGGAGCAAAGGAATGTCACAGTACTCACCCTCCTGCTATGAGCTAGGTTCTCCTGGTCATCTATAACCTCTTCTTTCTCTTCTTCTGGTTTTTCTTCTGGATTGTCTACTTCCTTTAAGATAGAGGCAATATTCAGCTGTACTCAAGCTCTGAGAAAAAATCAATCTGTTTTATTCTGGTAGCTTAAAACTCTCTATAACAATCTCTAATGCTTTCAAGTGTTCACTCATGTGAGGCCACATAGTAAACATAAATGATAACCCCTATTCTCTGGTACAAAACCAGCAAAGGATGTTTCTGACTTTGTAAAACAGAAAGAAATGAATGAACACAATACACCCACACTGATATAAAGGGCATTAGGTGTTACTATAGCGCCCCTACTTAAACCATGTGGCAACTCAGGTTCCTCTTCCTTCAAAGGGTTGATGACATAGCATCATCATTTGACCAGGGGCGATTACCTCATGATCACTGGATACAGTTACTTTTTCTGGAACTTCTTGTGATTGCTGGTCATTATTCTCCTCTGGAGCCTCATTCTGCTGCTCCATCTCTAGCTCTTTCCGTCGTGCTTTTCTACGTCTAGTCTCTGCTCCAATGGTGGGTAGGCTTGGAGGAGGTGGTGGGAGTGGCAGTTCTGTAGCATTAGGATTCCTTTTTTGTATAGGACAATTCCGGTTTCCCTTGTGACAGGCACAGTCCACTTTATAATTACTGCTCCAAAGAAACAACCAAAATGCCTGTCTCAGTACCCTTGAAATTCAGTTACATTATCCATTTACCCTCTCAAAATATCAGCACAGTAATTTCCTCTGATACGATCTCTGAATAAGTTAAACAGAGAAATTAGAGAGTCCTATACTTTTGTTTTTCTTTTTATCAAAGATGGAGTCTCACTTTGTCATCCAGGCTGAAGTGCAGTGGTGCATCACAGCTCACTGTAACCTCTGCTTCCTGGGCTCAAGTGATCCTATTACCTCAGCCTCCTGAGTAGCTGGAACTACGTGCCCAGCTAATTTTTTTTATTTTCGGCAGAGATGGGGTTTTGCCTTTTTGTCGAGGCTGGTCTCGAACTCCTGGGCTCAAGTGATCCTCGAGCCTTAGCCTCCCAAAGTGCTGGGATTACAGGTATGAGTCACCGCGCCTGATGTAACACTTTCAATATTCTGTCTTTCTCTGTGTAACCCCAATTCTACTCCATGGTCAGTGGGAAAAAAAAGAAAACCCTCCCTAAATCCAATCCCCCTAGTGGTTTATTAGCTATTTAGTAGGCAATGAATCAAGGATAAAGGCTGATGTGGCCATACTCATCTTGTGCCCACCATTACATGTCCTCACTTTTACCTACTAATTCCCTACTTCTTAAAACCTTTTCTTTTCATTTTCCTTGATGAATTAAGCAGAACATCTTTTTTTCTTATACCTGGGCCAAACATCACGTTACCACATAACCTCTATTTTGCCCCAAATGACCAAGAAACAAAAAGCATATACTTTATAAAATCCACCACATATTCATGTATGAATTGCCATTTATGGTTTTCTGCACTGTCATATACAGCTAGATAACATGGTTTCTGTGGATAGGGTGGATCTTTAAATCCCACTCCTAGCTTTATAAGGGTATAATTGACAAATTTAAAGTAGAGATAACACATTAAATTCTATTTTTTTTTTTAAATGGAGTCTCCCTCTGTTGCCAGGTTGGAGTGCAGTGGCGCGATCTTGGCTCTCTACAGCCTCTGTCTCCCAGGTTCAAGTGATTCTCCTGCCTCAGCCTCTCGAGTGGGGGCTGGGACTACAGGCACGTGCTACCACGCCTGGCTAATTTTTGTATTTTTAGTAGAGACAAGGTTTCATTGTTGGCCAGGAAGGTCTTGATCTCCTGACCTCGTGATCCGCCCACCTCAGCCTTCCGAAGTGCTGGGATTACAGGCATGAGCCGCTGTGCCTGGCCTAAATTCCCATTTTATATGGTCCCTGACATAAGTACTCAGTGCATAACAACAGGATGCTATTATAATTTCCAGGAGTGTCTCATACATATATATCCATTTTGCTATTCTTGCTAAAAAGGCATAAGTGAAAACACTTTTGTCAGGAAACTTGTGAGCAGTATCATGTAAGGTATCCATATCTCTAAAAAAAAAAATCTTGTCTTTTCCTTTACAATTTCTAGGCAGAAAACTCATTAGTCATGGAAAGATTAAGTAAACAAAGGAAAAGGCAAGAAACAAAGCAGACTAGAGTGAACAGCTTAATATAGAAGACAAGGACATTCATGTTAGGAAAGGTTTTTGAGATCTTACCAGTTACTATACTCATAATCAAATGCTATGGTGACCTCAGCATCCTTGGTGATGGCAGACACAGCATAGATGCACAGGTGAATCATCCCATCTGCAATCATGTGTCGCACCTGTGTGAAAAGGCATCTGGTTGGATTTTTCACAAAGACCATGAACTTTCCGTAACAGAAAAAAAACATACTTTCTCTCCATTTTAGAGTTATGGTAATCTTTATTTAACTCAATCTTTTTATCTGAAACTATTATACTGTACTGGCTTGAAAATTTATGATACTTCTTGAAATACGTGGAGAAACCTTGAGATGTTAGAAATCAGGGTAAAAATCTCTACTTTCACATCTTTTGTTTTTTTTTTTTTTTTTGGAGATGAAGTCTTGCTTTGTTGCTCAGGCTGGAGTGGAGAGGTGCGATCTTGGCTCACCGCAACCTCTGCCTCCCAGGTTCAAGCAATTCTCCTGTGTCAGCGTCTTGAGTAGCTGGGAATACAGGCACATGCCACCATGCCCAGTTGATTTTTGTATTTTTTTTTTTTAGTAGAGACGGGGTTTCACCATGTTGGCCAGGCTGGTCTCGAACTCCTGACCTTGTGATCTGCCCACCTCAGCCTTCCAAAGTGCTGGGATTACAGGCATGAGCCACCGCGCCCAGCCGCTTTCACATCTTATAGCTGTTTCTAGCTCCACCAGAGAATTAAAATTCCTTAGCCAGTAAGTAAAGCTCTGTGGATTTTCTTGCTTTATTTGATGTGGCTGCTCTGAGTAATGAATTCTAGAAATGCCTAGATCCTCTCATAGAACACTACTTACTAAAATCTAAAGAAGCTACAACCAAATAACTTAGTTAGGCCTGATGACATCTACTTACACCGTATGGCAATTTCTTTAATACAACTACACTTGATTTTCTTATTCAGTCTAGCTTTCTCCTTAGCAAATGCTAACTTGCTCTTTTCTATTTCTGCCTTCTCTAAAGAAAATTCTTTCCTTGCTCCCATTTTCTCAGTATAAAAGCACCATTACTTTTGTTTTTCACCTCTCACAATGAAATATCACGACTATTATCTACAGACCTTTATCTGAGTGAAGTTTTCACACTGTTTCTTCAGTAAGCTTGTCATTTGATGGTTCCAGTCAAAGGGAAGTTGCTACAGATATCTTACCTCTGCATTTGGTGTACATGATCTTCTGATGAACCGAGCATCATTACCGAAAGTACGGGCATCCACACACATCTCTACACCATTGAATTTTGAGTAGAAGAGCACAAAGGGGTATGGTCTAGGGATATAATTAAAATTCCTGTAATTCTCAACACAAAAAAGAAGGCCACCCCATGACTCCAAATATGAAGCATATGCTGAGAGAAGCAGCAGCAGTCTTTTACAATGCCTAAACTTGGAAAACATCACATGCTTGTCTGCTTTTGATTAAAGAACAAGCACAAAGCAAGGAATGCTTGGCTTGGAAAGGAGTTGTCACCACTTTATACATTAAACAATTTGCAGATTTACTTGTACTTCTCTACAAATAGCAGACAGGCGTGAGCTTATCTGAGTTTTGATTTTTTTTCTCCCAAGAGCATCCTATCAAACAGAATGATTTTTACAACACTGGTCAACCAGGTCCACCTTAGCCCTCACTGCTCAATGAATGATGTTCTTACTTTTTGAAGAAATGCCCATTGACCTCAAATTGCTGTCGTAGCATGACTTTCCCACGATACTCTATTATAAGAGTGTCCAAAGCCAAATCTCTTGCAGCCCTCAGGATCTTCCGGTGCTTTTGAACACGAGTGACTCTTCCCAGCTGTAACTGAATAAAACCAGAGCAGTAACATTAAACAACAGCAAGAACACCTTAGTAGACACTCAAATTATTTCATAATTAAGGAAAACATGCTAACATTTTCAGGTTTTATCTGTATATGTTATTTAGATCAATGATGAGAAATTTTAAAATGTGACAAAAGCTCAATTTTTCTAAGAGACATGCTACATCTAGTGAAACTGCCTCCCCAGAAAAGGCAACATAAAAAAACCCAAAAAACAAACAAAAACAAAACAAAACAAAAACACAAAAAACCATGATTAAAATTTCAGTGACTCTATCTCTAATAAAGTTGGGAAAGAACATGCTTAACTTTCTATAAATCTTAGATAATTCCTACCTAGGTTATACAAAATTTCCCATACTAAGTCTTTTTTTTTTTTTTTTTTAAAGAGACAGGGTCTCACTCTGTCACCCAGGCTGGAGTGCAGTGGTGCAACAATCATAACTTACTATAACCTCAAATTCATTCAAGTGATCCTTCCACCTCAGCCTCCCCAGTAGCTGGGACTTACAGGTGTGTACCATCACAATGGCTAACTTTTAATTTTTTTTGTAAAGAGAGGGTCTCACTATGTTGTACAGGCTGGTCTTGAACTGCTGGCCTCAAGCAATCCTCCCACCTTGACTTCTTGCCAAAGTGTTGTATTCTAGGAGTGAGCCACTGCACACAGCCTCAATTCATCTATTTTTTATTAATAAAGGTAGTTTAAAAATACGTATCCAGATAGTTTCCAGTTAATATAACCTACTTTTGGTTACATATGATCAACACCTGTCTAATCTGTTATTCTATGGCCTTGTACATTTGGAAGGAACAGTAATTCCAATCCATTACCCTCTTTCTGGGTTCTTAAAATTTCAGATACTTAGAGAGTCTTCAACCCTTTGGTGCTTACCTGCATTTGGGAACCAATAACTGTGTTATTACAGGCCAATTCAGTCTTATTAATAGTGTCTAAAATAGTAGGTTTGCCCACAAATTCCTTGCTAGAATGTAGGTGTTGTTCAAGGGCGTTCTGTACATCTGCACTGTACTGATTAGTGAAAGCTTCTTCATACTGGTCAGTCCATAGTCTTATCCGATTTTCCCAGCCCTCAGTTGTATTCTCATCTAAATTCTGTGCTTCAGAGGGAGAATTCTGTAGAAAACAAATTCAGGGAGGTTAGTAAAGTCCATGCAAAAATAGGGGGTTGGGAATGGGGGTGGGACAAGTTGGGGTTCCAGAGAAAATCTATCACTTGGCAACTGATGTGGCATAAAAGAGTAATGGACTGGGAGTCAGAGGATCTGGTTTCTATCATGCTTTTGTTACCAATGAGAGGTGAGACCTTGAACGACTTCTTTAAACGGGGAAGCTCAGTTTCTCCATTTATAAAGTAAGAAATTAATTGGGATCATAGTTTTACCCCATCACTGTGATTTTATGACCATTTTAAAGTCATAAAAATCAATTTTCTTACCAAAAGACTGACATCAAGTTCATAAGAAAATCTTCATAAAAATGAACAGTAGAGACCTCACATTTACCACTGCTTAAATTTTTCATACTCACTCTGTGTTGGTGTTAGCCCAAACTGGTTTTTTGACTATTCTCCAGGAGAATGAATGTTTTTGTGTCACTTATTATTTTCATAATTCATGTTCTTTCTAAACCTACATGTGACCTTAATCAATCCAATCATAATCTTACTGCCCATATAAAAAGTTATTATTTGAGTATATCTTTCTAACACCCTACTTTCAACATTTTAAATTACCACATTCTAAATAATCTGAAGAGGTGAAGTGAGGGGAGAGGAGTAGGTAGGGAGAATACAGAAAATGTCTAAGAGGTACTTTGCTATACTCCTCTAGGAAAACCATTGCCCTCTATGGTGACAGTATTGAGAAAAGATTACAACTCAGGAACAGCTTCCTAGGCAGACAGTGCCTGAGCTACAAAGACAAAGCTTAAGCCCAATACATGCTCTCCTCCATGGTGTTCAAGACTTAAGTGCCATCAGAAAACAAAACAAACACTGACAGTAATGATATCATGCTAGTGATGATTAGAAGGAAAAGACACTGTAGTACCAAAGCTACTTGAAAATCCATGTCCACATTAAACTTGCAAACAGGCACAACAAAATTAAATATACTTTCCATGAATGGCACAGAAAACACGGATGCTTATCATCACACTTTCTTTTGCCACTTTTGCATCACTGTTGCTGACTGATTATTGTCTACTATCCTTTCTGCAAGGAACAGGAGTATGGAAGAAAAAAAAAATCAACACTATTGTTTCCACATTTCTTACTAGAGTCCAAAAGACTGAAAAATAAACAGAGGGATCTAAAGAAACACCTAAGGCCAACATACTGACAATCAGAGTATCACCTGCTTGACATCAGTAGCAGTTATGCAAAAGAATAGTGCAAAACCTTAGGCTTAACAGAGCTTACAGACTGGGGGATTGGCAGTGTTCAAACAATATTCCCAGCTTTAAGTAGCAATCATTAAACTTATGACTTGGTAAGTGTACTGTATTCTGGAAGCCTCTGTCACAGTATTTGCCATTGTTTACTAATCTCACTGTGTGTTTACTCTGCTGTCCCATCCTTCAAGGCATTAGAGACTCTACCTCAGCTGGGTTTACAGCAGTGGTTCTCAATTGAGGGAAATTTTGCACCCAGGTGACATTTGGTAATATCTGAAGACATTTTTGATAATCTCAACTGAGTGTATGAGTGTTACCGGCATCTAGTGGGTAGACACCAGGGATTCTGTTCACATCTTGAAAGCACAGAACAGTCCCTTCCACAACACAGATTTGGTCCAAACTGTCAGCAGTGTCAAGACTGAGAAACCCTGATTTACAATTAAGTCTTCAGTAGGGAAGTTGCTCTTGACACTGGGATTAAAAATCCAAATGGTATTTTTTTTCTAATTCTTACGGCTCCCACCTGGATCACTGGAGGAGTTTTAAACTAGTAATTCTGAGCATAAAATTTGTAACTCAACTTAGAATTAAAAGACTCAAAATGACTAGTAATTGTTTTTTTTTTTCTGTCTAAATTTTAACACACCTATGAGGCTGTCAACCTCCCAAAACTGAAAGCAAAATATGGGGTTTATGTGCAGTTTTCTGGTAGAGCCAGTCTATAGCTTTCAAAAGGTTTTGAGCTTCTGGAGATGAGTTATGATAGTTGCTTGATGAGAGAAAAGCATTTAGTAGCCGGGATTAGGGCTATTATCCGCCTCCAAAGTCTATTTAAAAGGCCCCTCTCTAAGCAAATGAGACAAAAATAAAGGGGCAGCTAAAGCAAACTTGGCCACTTGCAGGAGACAGATCCAGCAAAGAAATGATTAATTTGTCTTCCAAGACACATCCCAGGCCTCTGATGGTCTCCCAACACTTTCACAGGTATGTGCAAGTCTGTTTATAGATATTAAGTGAGGTCTTCGAACTTTAGGTAAAGTGCTACCTGTAATCTTTGCTAACACCAGTCACATTGGTGCTGCACATAAAGCAATCCCAAAAAAGCTTATCTTTACTGAATTTTTTTTTTTTTGAGATGGAGTCTTGCTCTGTTGCCCAGGCTGGAGTGGCGTGATCTCGGCTCACTACAACCGCCGCCTCCTGGGTTCAAGTGATTCTCCTGCCTCAGCCTCCCAAGTAGCTGGGACTACAGGTGCCTGCCACCATGCCTGGCTAATTTTGGTATTTTTAGTAGAGATGGGGTTTTACCATGTTGGCTAAGCTGGTCTTGAATTCCCGACCTCAGGTGATCAACTTGCCTTGGTCTTCCAAAGTGCTAGGATTACAGGTATGAGCCACTGAGCCTGGCCTTACAAAAGATTTTAATGTTTATGCCCTATAACTCTCAATAGGAAAGAGCCTGCTTTTGTATCATTTAAGAATATAAATACTTATAAACTCGAATTTAATTCTAATTAAATGCTTTGAAGCCCTCAGTAATAATTCGGGAGGTACGTTTTCCTCCTATATATATATACACATAGGTAAAGGAGGATACCAGACAGCATAATCAAATCTCCTTTTGGCAAACTGTTTTTAATCAACCAGCACCTAACAGTTCTTCTAAACCATTCCACATAATTGCTCTATTCTCCAAGTTCTTTACAAAGTCATACCTCATAAACTCTTTCATTTGATATCTTAAGAAACACGCTAGCATTATCTAAGTCTTCTCCACCAAACAGATATGCTAAGAGAAAACAGTAATTCTTATCAGTAATACAAGCCTTCTGCAATTAAAGCCCACACAGTGCTAGGGTAGATGCACAAGAGATCCTATATCATTACCAGAAAACTCCACTCCTAAGGTTGAGTTCAATCACAGTGACAGAACATACCAGCCTCATGTTGTCTGGAAAAATGTCACTTACCCCCTACAAAAGCAATGCATGAAAAACCAATCAATGAAGGCTGATTACAGAAAGGGAAAATATTTCAGAAAATGGCCAAGAAAATCTACTTTGGAGAAAAGCTCTATGAAAACTGAATGGCAACAACTACAAACTAATGAAAAGCAGACTCCAAGATTCCCAGACCATCAATGTCAAGAAAGAAGCTGACCAAAATGCAAGATCACAGTGAAGTAAAACACAGCATCAGCGAAGATTACCCCTTACCTTCATCCGCAAGGACTTCCGGGATCCCTCTCGAAATGCCTATCCCAAGGAGGAAAACAAGTAGAACAAACAAAACTTGGTACCAAGAATGACAGTTATACCTATCTGAGACTAAAACTAAGGCACAAACTAGTGTTCTATTCTGTCCCCGTTTCTCTAGGTAAAAAATACAATGGAATTCCCCAAACTATTATCAAGAATAGGGGTAGCTCAAGGCCAATGAACTCTGAGACTAATTTTAATACTTTCTACTGTGAAGCTAGGTAATTAACAGGGAAGAGCATGCGTCTCTTAAATCCTATATGCACTTCTGATACTAAGAGAAAAAGTAAATAAAAAAACTTTAAAGTTGCAGATTTACCAGTTTTGCAACTAAGAAGGAAACAAAGACCAATCCCCTTAACAAGGGGTGAACAAGTCACCTAGAAGCAACAAAGTTGCTGTGATGGGGAAGAAAGAACACAAACCAGAAGAAGTTTCTCCCGGAGACTTTTTAGCTGAGAATACAGGAAAGTGACCATGACACTGAGGAAGCCTAGAGCATTCAAGAGATGTTTCCTGATTTTTATTTTTTTTGAAACAAGGAAAAACAATCAACCCAAAGACATGAGGCATGTAACCAGGACAAGAATTTCAGACTGTACTTTGGGGTTGAAAGGTGGGGAGATACCGTAAGGATAGTGGAAGCCTAGACTTGAGGCTGCAACACATATGGGCTTGTGCCAGGTAGGGCTGGAATTTCATACCTGGGATGGGGGCTGGAGTAGAAGAAACTTTGAGCCAGTGGTGATGATATGGTGTGGCAGAAGAGAGGTTGGTCTACATGTATATAACACAGATTAGCTGATTTTTGCAAGTAGAACAAAAGTGGCCCTTCAAATACCTGGATCAAACTTCTTAAAAGAATTTTGGTGCATTCTTGCTCCAAAATTTGAGCTATTTCAGACACTTATATTTATTTTTACCCTACATACCTTGATTTTCTTCGTCTTTGGTGCTGCACGACCCTTTTCTGGACTCTTTTTCCGCTTCTTGGGTTTGGTTCTTCTAACAGTTAAGGTGATGCTTGTAGGTGTGTGCTGTGTTGCCGTATACAACACAGTGGAAGGAGAAAGCTCCTCATCCCAGCTTTCTGTTGCACTGCTATCCCCACCTGAAAAACGATGATTTATTAGTTCAGGTACTAATAGCCTCAAAAGTACATTAAAAGTAGCTTATTGTTTTAGGTGTGCACCACATGCAGTAAGTCATTACTTACATTATTAACTCTCATTATCTGTAAAGCAACGTTAAGCACCCATCTTCCTTATGAAAACAAGATTCTATGTCATTGGCATTAAGCATATAAACCCTATTCCTCATGGTATCTATTTCTCCCCTTGTATTCAGTCTCTAAGCTTCACTGACTCAATCTATAACAATTTGAGACTGGCTAATTTTTAAAAGAGGGATCCATGTTTTTGGTGTTCACAAGGAATACTTTGCTACAGGGCTAAAATGTTCCCAATACATTTTGTTTACAATGAGAGAACTACTATACAGTGGTCTTGAGAGGACTTCTATCTCTTTCTGTGAAAAGAGCTGGCTGGGGGACCATAGGAACTTATAAGAGGGGTCTTTTTTTTTTTTTTGAGACGGAGTTTTGCTCTTGTTGCTTAGGCTGGAGTGCAATGGCGCAATCTCGGCTCATGGCAACCTCCGCCTCCCGGGTTCAAGCAATTCTCCTGCCTCAGCCTCCCGAGTAGCTGGGATTACAGGCATGCGCCACCACATCTGGCTATTTTGGATTTTTAGTAGAGATGGGGTTTCTCCATGTTGGTCAGGCTGGTCTCAAACTCCCGACCTCAGGTGATCCACCCGCTTTGGCCTCCCAAAGTGCTGGGATTACAGGCGTGATCAATTGCACCCGGCCAAGAGAGGTTCTTAAAATGAACATTCAGATCACAGAATATTTACATGTCAAACTGTGGACCTAATCCATCTTCCGCTCACCTGATATGTTGTCCTGCTTCCGCCGATGAAGTCTAATAACCTTCCCCCTGCTCATTCCCCTAAAGAGGGAAAATAAACTTAAAGTAGTCCTTTCAACAGCATGCATCACATCATAGCACACATGGGCGAAGTGTCTCTGCATATGCTACCCCCTCCCTCCCACCTACCAAATGTTTCCAGGACATTAAATTTCATATCAAATTCAATAGCTTTAACATCAATCTCTCATTCCTTGTTGTCAGCAATTCTCACCTAGTGCAGAGAATTCGAGCCAAGGAGCACTAAGGAATCATCTACATTAACAAACACAAGAAAGAATACTTTGAGCTTTTCCCTACTTGTAAGAAACCCTAATCCCAGCAACCCAGACTTAAATTTAGATGGAACAGGATCTTACCTGCACTTGTCACAGTTGAGAAGGAAGCCATCCTGAGAAAGACCACAAGGACACCAGGTAGGTACAGTCTCTCCTTCAGAGTTCGGGCTGTCTCCACAGCGTTCCTCTACGGGCGACGGCAGGCCATTCAGGTCAGAACGAGGGATGATCGTCTGGACAGGGGGAGAAGCAGGAGGTGTCGGAGGAGGAGGGGCTCCGTAATTATGATCCTGAAAATAAGATTTTTTAAATCAACAGTGTCCAAACACTGGCCCCTCTCTCCCCTAAAGTATGGTACATATGGAAAGAAAGAAGAAAGTAGTACCCTTCGTTTTTTGGCTTCAACCAGGAAAGTGATAAAACAAAATGCCAAGGTCAACTGGGACATAAAAACAAGAACAATGATGCAGGGCTAGACGTCCGCTGGAGTCAGGGAAGTGCAAAAGGGGCAACTTCGTCATGCTGCATATAAACATTTCAAGAAAGTCACAATGTATAAGAATGGATTACACTCCAGGAAGATCACTGTTCTGGAGAGAAACAAATGCATACTCACAGCATAAGGCAGTCCTCGACACCCATGCCTCTGAGTGGTCCCATAATTATGAGTGGAATACACGCTCTTCTCATTAACTGCTGGACTAGCCTCCACAGATTCAGGGCTGCACAAAGGCGAAAAGCAATGCATGATAGCATAACACCTAATCTTCCCTTAAACTAACACTTCATTTCCCATTCTAAACCCTCCTCTTTCCACAACCACTAGCCACTAGGATAAGAGAAAGAACTCAGTGAAACAATCTTATTAACATAACTAAGCCTATAAATAACAGTAGGAGTGTTATTAAATGTGGATTTGTGTGAAGCCAGTACAGGCAGATGTCTGAAGGCAGGCACCTGAGATACAAGGTGTCCCTAATGACAAACACAAACGTACCAGCTGAGCGGGGAGTTTCCCCTAGAGAAGCCACTCTGGGCTGGTTTAGACTCAGAACTATTCTTCTTAATTGGATCTCTTAATACTTCCATGAAACCTCACATGACATTTGCAGTGAGTGAGATGATGAAAGTGCCTTCTGCACTGCCCCAGGGACCAGGCCCTCTTCCATTCACTACCAAGACAGGATACCCTGAAGAAAGTACAGGTAAAAACAATGGCATCTTATATTTATCATACCTCTCATCTTGACGAACCCCCAACACCTTTCAAATATTAGAGTAATAATTTCTCATCCACCAATGACATGCAAGCATATTAAGGACAAAATTATTTATCAGCTGCATGATAATACCATAGAACTTCAAAATAAAAACTAAACTGGAAAGTTATGTTAGTCTAGTGACAAATAATAACAACAGTAATGGCCACCATTGTGAACTGCCCATTATTTGTTAGGTGCTTTATATATCTATTAATTCAATTTCAGCAACCACTAAACATGGTATATACCCCATTTTTACAGAGGGGGAAGATGTGGTGGTGAGATTACATGACTTCCCCAAGGTTACATATTGACACAGCTAAGATTTGAAACAAAGTCTGTCTGACTCTAAAGTCTATGCTCTTTCCGCTATAGAAACGAGGATGACATTTAGTCCTTTAAAGAAAATTATTTGAGACCTTTATTAACCAGGCTTAGTGAGAAGCTTGGTTTAGTATCTTTTTGTACCCTTTGGGAGTAGAAAATAAACTATTCAAGCACAATGTATTATTGTAGAATTATACATGTATTCAAACTTAGAAAATTAACATAAGCCTTTACAATAAAAAGGCTTTGATGGCAAAGGATAATATTCAGGTTTATGGGAAGCAAGAACTTCAACTTTGATTGTTACCTGGTTAGGTTTTAGGGAATACTGAAGGATAATTCAAAAATAAAAAGTTTGTACAGCTTTGCAGAATAGAATAGTAATTTGTAATTTATATTAATTAGAACACAGATTCACAAATTAGAAACTCCGATGATTGACATAACACAAACTTAGAGATTAATGGGTCTTTCAGGGAGTCAAATAATGCATATTGTTTGCTTGAAATAACAGACATTTTTTCCTGCTTAGAGATATACAATATATAGTATGGCAGGAATAAGTAAGTGTGCAGTTCAATGTGGTAATGTCAATTGAGAAGTGAGGGATCAAAGAAAATTCTGAGATGTGTATCCAACTCACCCAGTTATATGCTCCAAAACTGTGAGAAGGGATCTTATTAATAACAGCAAAGGAAATTTCTAGGTGAAGAAGAACTTTAGACAGAGGAAAGTATTCTCTGTTAGTGAGGTGCATGCATTTTATTACTTAAAAGTGTCTGCAAGATGGGAACAGGGGGAGGGGTACATCAAGAATGCAGGTCAGTATTCTTGAGAAAAAGATGATCTGAACATGGCTCACTGAGAGGCAATCATCTCTGAGTATTAGGAAACAGGTGGGGTTTCCTAAATGAAACCAAAGGCAGACAAGCAATAATAAAATGAAGGTATAATTTAGTTTCTATGATGGACAGTTAAAAGAAAGTAATAAATTTATACAACATTGTTAATTTACTAGGTACATTATTAAACAAGTATTCCAAAAGCTGTATATATTTTATATAGATTTTGTACCACTGAACACATGGAGTGAAACATGACAGCTGTTTATTAGGAATGGATTTTTTTTGGGGGGTGGGGACAGGAAAAAGGAAAGTTGCATGAAATCAAAGATGGCCATGGAGATGGAGCTATGCTGGTTGTATCTTACCCATCTCCAAACGGGTAAATATGAACATATGCACTTCATGTGCAAGTCTAGGGAATAAAAATAAAATGTATATTGTGGAGGTTAAAAGGCCATCGTATTGCATAATACTTTCTAGTTAAGCACAGCATTGAATATATTGCTGTGCATGCCAAATCTAAAATTTAAACTCTTCTGATGAAGAAACTCTGCAATTTCCATATTGGTTATTGATTAAATACATAGTTAGACATTGACAGGTAACTATAAGGTTTCCTAAAACATTCCTTGATATATATACTAGTTTTTATATTTAAAAATAGGAATTAAAAATTTGGAATGGAATTACATCTCTTTAGCAGGCAAACACTTTATGCAAATCTAATTACAGCCTTTCTTCTCCTATCACTGAATTGGACACATACACAGAAACCAGGCTCACAACAGATATACTCCATCAACTGTGTTCTAAGTACAACATGCAACCCAGTTGCTATCATGCCATTTCTTGGAAAATGCCTGAAATTCTGTAATGGCAGAATTGGAAATTCAGAAAAATCTTTGCTTCACTTGTTACATCTACAAAATTTCCTACAAACACACACAAAAATAAATGCATATTGCATATAGTTGCCATCGGATTTAAAATCCTATGAAGTCTAGGTCTAGTTAAGTATGCTGCACTTAATACCAGGTTTAATCTTAAAGTGCCCAGGACAGTGAAATAGGCATGATGAAACATTAATAAATATTAATAATTTAACAGAATGGTACGTAGCTAGTCATTGACATTCTTTCCCTTTGTAGAAATGCGTAACTATGTAGCCAGTTACGACTACAGTATCAGAAATCTGTCTGGAGATCATGAATGAAAATGTTTCAGGAAATCCTAGAATACGCTGGTGTTAACAGAGACAGTGCAGTCACATTTGTAGACCAGAAGTATTTTTATTTCTGAAATTACTCCTGGACTCCCTAGCAGTATTTGCGGGCAGTCATGTCTATACTTTGGGGAAAACACCAATTGTAAGATTAACTGCTCTGGGTCTTTTATCTACTAATTCCAAACTTACTGGTTTAACCTCTTTGTTGAAATTTCTCACAAATGTTAATGCTATCTATCTACATAGTTAGACAACCTACATAGTACCAGGTTAGTAGCCGACTTTATAAAAACCTATAAACACAATACAACTGGGCTACCTACTAATGCAGGAAGAGTTTTAAATACTTTATTTGGGGAAAGAGTTGTAAAATGGTAAGTCTCAGTTACTGATATAACTAAATACCTTTTGCATGCAAAAAAACCCAAACCAAACCAAAATAAAAAAAACAAAAGAAGAAAAAAGCTCTAGAAGAAACAAAATCAACCCTTCCCCACTCCCAACCCTCCTTTCTCCTTTTTATATGGGAAAAAGCCCAAACGCTGCTTTCCGTTTTAGACTACCCCAGAATATTATATACTATTTCTCAGGGTAGCTTTAAGTCTTCCTTTTTAAGGAACTCAGTCAACAGGTAAGTTATATTAGGTGGCTTTATGAAGAAATATACACAATCTTTAATAATACTGTTTTAAGGAAGAAAACCACTATTAATCAGGGTTGCCATTCAACCCAGAAATCTGGTACAGTTGCTTTGCTTTGCTGAAGGGGGACGCATCCCCGGGGACTGTGAAAATGGCAAGAGAAACAGGGGAATTAGAGCAACACCCACCTCACTCAAGAAGTGGCTGTGGGATCAAGAGTCTGAACTGGACCTGAACATATTCAAAACACCAGGATTTTTCCAGCCCAGACCCTAATCCCTGGTACTGCCTGGAATAGACTTGGCTTCTGGGGGTGTGCTGCCCCCTAGGCCCCTTGGGTCTCTTTCGCTGGACTTTCACATCCTGGTGTAGTGCCACTTCGTCTTGAAAGGTAGGGGGCTTCCACTTCCTTTCTGTAAGCAAGGAAGATTGGGTACAAGGGAGGTAAAAGGACAACAGGGGGAATCTGTGAGCAGGGGGAATCTTGGACAACTTAAAAGAGAAGGGATACAAAAGACTAAAAATTTAAAAACTGTGAATAATATATATAAAAGTTGTATAATGAAGGCCTACCTTCATTGTCATTTGGCATTTACATTCTTCAAGAATTGAGAGTATAATTTTAGGGATTGGGCCTTTGGACAAACTCTGAATTCCTAAAGCTGCTCTTAGCTGAAAAGAAAGTTTGGTACCACTGATTTTGAAGGTCCTCTTTCTAGGCAATGAATATTATAAAAATAAACAGATGACACTGCTCTCCATGTTTTCTACCCCAGATGTCAGAAGGTCTAGGCAACCTGCCCATATAGTTTCAACCCCTTTACTCTAGAACAATGGGAAGTACATAGGAAGAGGACTTCAAGGAAAATCAGTTGGAAAGAACACCTTATCTCCCTCCATCAGAATAATCATTAATTCTACAGAAGCAGGTAGTAATACCTACTTTATTCTAATTTTCCCCACCCATTAAAATAAATGAGAATGAATTCCTACTTTGCAACTTTGGTTCTATTAATTATTTGCCCAGAAATACCCCTCTGAAAACTCTTCCTTCCCCTTCTAATTCCTTTTTTCCTCCAGCTTCAATGGGGGTAAAGGGAAAGGTCTAATGTTAATTATAGTGGGACAGGATCTGGTTAAGAAAATACTACATATTATCTTATTAGCTATCCATAAGAAAGTTGTCTCCACACAGACTGGTAATTTACCTACGACCTAGAAAGTAGCACTTACTCTGATCCAGCAGCCATATCTGAGTAGGATGTATCTGGTGTGGTGACTCCCAGAGGGATTGCAATGCTCATGACGTCCAACACAGCAGAGATTGGAAATCACGGGGTCCAATTAATGGAGACTGACCACTCTGAGAGTGGGGGTGAGCTGCAGAGCGTCATCCAACATGTTATGGACATGAGGAATCCTACAATAGAAAAGGAAAATATCTAGTAAAATAAATACCTAGTTATCAGATGGTTCTTTAAGTTTATCTTAAATGCTACTGAATATTTTTCTGCATTCTTGAACAAGGCTTTTAAGGGATAGCTATAAAATAAATACAGCCACAGTGTCCCATGTTTACTATGCATTTCATTAATGTTTCACAAAGTAGGGGGCAAAAAGTTATGCTTACTTTTTTCTTCCTTTTCAGTTGAAGGGAAAGGAAGAGTCTGCCCATCTCACTAACCAACGCTTTCTCCCCATTCTAAAACTGCCCAAACAAAATTTTCTGGCAGCCTAGGATCTAGCAAACAAGTTTTAAGATAAAGGATGGTTATTAGAAATATCCTAGTTTACCTAAACTCTTTAAAAATTCAAGATCTTCATTTTTTTCCCTAGGCCACAAATAAACGCAGTTTCACAAGCAGTCAATAATGTTATTTCTTCCAAATTAAAAGAGATCAATTGGTTGTTTATACTTGATTGGAAACAGCTGTTTCTTACTGCCTTCTTTTGTCACTGAACACTCTCTTCCTTCTTTTAAATCATCTTAACTATAATTTTGGGAGAAGATGCAATCATCTTAGCAACTTTATTTGTGGGGTAATAATATGCTGCTAGATATGAACAAAAATGTAAACCAGGAGGAGGCTGTGCATGTGTGGGTGCAGAGGGTGTATGGGAAATCTCTGTATCTCCTGATGAATTTTCCTGTGAACCTAAAACTGCTCTAAAAAAGTCAATTGTTTTTTAAAAACAACGAAAAAAATCCCGAAATCACGAAGAGTACAGTTTCATGATAAAGACTAAAGAACTGTGTATGAAAAAGCAATGAGGATAGCTTGACATGGTGACCATAAACCAGTGAAATTTGGGAACAGAAAGACTCAGAAATTACTGAAGTAGAAAAAAAGCAAAAATAGATTAAGAGATTTGGAGGTATGGTGCAGAGGGAAACAAGTGTTCTTTGTGTGACTTTACATTAGTAGTTTTACAGTAGTGTAAAAAAACATCAAAAAGATGAAACAAAAAAGCATTTTCTGTAGGGGGAATAAAGTCAATGTGAATGTCAAAGGCCCATGTTTAACAAGGACTGTTGCAAAAAAGACTACAAAGAGAGTCATGACTGATGCACTGATTCATAATAAGTCATTAGAACCATTATTAATACTAAAAAAGCTAAAGGAATTTAAAGTACATGATACCGACTGAATCAACCTAGAGGGTTAATGTAAATTTTATTTTTATTTTTTGAGACAGTTTCAGTTTTGTTGCCCAGACTGAAGTGTAATGGTGCAATCTTGGCTCACTGCAACCTCTGCCTCCCGGTTTCAAGAGATTTTCCTGCCTCAGCTTCTCAAGTAGCTGAGACTACAGGTGCCCGCCACCATGTCTGGCTAATTTTTATATGTTTAGTAGACACAAAGTTTCACTATGTTGGCCAGGCATTCTCGAACTCCTGACCTCGGGTGATCCACCCACATCTCAGCCTCCCAAAGTGCTAGGATTATAGGCGTGAGCCACCGTGCCTGGCCGGTTAATGTAAATTTTAAATGATAGATGGTCTGAGATGCTCCAATCTTACTTTGATATACAAAGATTAATGCAAATAAAAAAAAATTGTGGGCTGGGTGCAGTGGTTCACAACTGTAATCCCAACACTTTAGAAGGCCGAGGTGGATCACTTGAGCCCAGGAATTTGAGACCAGCCGAGGCAACATAGTGAGACCCCATCTCTCCAAAAATAGCAAAAAAAAAAAAAAATCAGCCAGTCATGGTGATGTGCGCCTGTGTTCCCAGCTACTTGGGAGCTGAGGTGGGAGGATCACTTGACCACAGGAGGTAGAGGCTGCGGTAAGCCATAATCATGCACTGCACTCCAGCCTGGATGATGAAGTGAGACCTCTGGGTATGATAATACGCCTGTTCCTATACCCAAATGGAGGTGACATATAGCTGGGCTGGCGAATGACTGGGCCAGGCGAAGTGGCTCATTCCTGTCATTCCAGCACTTTGAGAGGCTGAGGCAGGTGGATTGCTTGAGCTTGGGAGTTGGAGACCAGCCTGGGAAACATGGTTAGATCCTGTCTCTACTAAAAATACAAAAATTACCTGGTGTGGGCCAGGTGCGGTGCCTCATACCTGTAATCCCAGCATTTTGGGAGGCCAAGGTGGGTGGATCACCTGAGGTCAGGAATTCGAGACCAGCCTGGCCAATGTGGTGAAACCCCTTCGCTACTAAAAACACAAAAATTAGCTGTAGTGGTGCACACCAGCAACTCCAGTTACTGAGGAGGCTGGGGCAGGAGAATCGCTTGAACCCAGGAGGGGGAGGTTGCAGTGAGGTGAGATCACACCACTGCACTCCAGCTTGCGCGTCAGAGTGAGACCCCATCTCAAAGAAAAAAAAAAAAAATCTGGTGTGGTGGCATGCACTTGTAGCCCCAGCCACTCAGGAGGCTGAGGTGGGAGGATTGCTTGAGCCTGGAAGGTGGAGGTTGCAGTGAGCTGAGATCGTGCCAGTGCACTCAGCCTGAGCAACAAAGTGAGACTCTGTCGCCAAAAAAAAAAAAAAAAAAAAAAAAAAAAAAAAAAAAAAAAAAAAAAGTTTTTTTGGCCTTTAGGCCAGTCTTACACATGTATGTTTCCTTTCCCTAACAGTATATCCAAACAGAGACCTTGGCAGTACATCTTCTAAGCCTTTGGGAAACTGAAGTAAAATCTGTAAATGATAAAACAAGAACACTCATCAAGTAAACCCAAAAGACACAGTTAAATACTGGGGGCTGTTGGTTACAACTCTTTCTATTAGTATCACTGTATAATTCAGATTTTTAAAAAAGCCCCAAAACTGTCTGACCAGATAATCATAAGAAAGTCTGATTATCACCACACCTCCCCTGATCAGTAAAGGGAATCTGAATTGTGTTATATTTTCAGTAAAAGACTTAAACCAAAAACCGTACTCAACATCATTAAAAACCCTTTGTTGTAGCCATTACTATTGTATACCCATTTAAAAAATGCACGGTTTAATGGTGAAACCCCATCTCTACTAAAAATACAAAAATTAGCTGGGCATGTTGGCACATGCCTATGATCCCAGCTACTTGGGGGGCTGAGGCACAAGAATCGTTTGAATCTGGGAAGCAGAGATTGCAGTGAGCTGAGACGGGGCCACTGCACTCCAGCCTGAGCAAAAGTGAGACTCTGTCTCCAAAAAAAAAAAAAAAAAAAGGTACAGTTTCCAGATAAAAGTCAACTTATAAACCCAAGATAATAGTTGATATTTTTCCTAGAGCAATTTTTAAAAGATATACTAAAAGGAAAAGATGGAAAAGTTCCTTCAGATAACATCTTAATGAGTGAATAAATGATTGCTACACCAACACAGCTATTTTGGATAGCTGATAAATAACTTTAAGAAACATTAAGTCAGCCGGGCGCAGCGGCTCACACCTGTAATCCCAACACTTTGGGAGGCTGAGGTGGGCGGATCACCTGAGGTGAGGAGTTTAAGACCAGCCTGGCTAACACAGTGAAACCCAGTCTCCACTAAAAATACAAAAAAATTAGCCGGGCATGATGGCAGGCGCCTGTAATCCCAGCTATTTGGGAGGCTGAGGCAGGAGAATCTCTCGAACCCGGGAACCAGAGGTTGCAATGAGTCGAGACCGCGCCATTGCTGTTCAACAGGGGCAACAATAATGAAACTCCGTCTAAAAAAAAAAAAAAAAAAAAAAAAAAAAAAATTAAGTCGATAACTATAAATTTCTATTTCATAAAAAATATTCCTTTTTCCTCGTGTCTAGTTTAACATGACTGCTTCATTCTTCTGATGAAAGCAACTATAATAGGTTAGCTTGACCATCTCATTCTAACTAATGCTTTAATAATAATAAGGCTTCTTAATTCAAATTCTGTTAATAACCCCAAATTTCTCAAATATTACCCTAAGAATAGTTCCCTCCCTAAGTAACTCTCTGTAAAATGTCACTATTAAAATGTTAACTGAGGAACATTTAACAGATCATCCAAATGCAGTATTTTTTTATTATAATTTGTTTTTTCCTACCAGAATATAAACTCTATGAGGACAGGGATTTTTATCCACTGCTGTAGTTCCAATGGCCAAAACAGTAACTGACACATAAAGAAGTTCAAGAAATATTTGCCAAGTAAATTATAATCACCATTTACTACAACATGATTCCAGCAGTCATTAAAATGCAAAATATAAAACAGAAATTAAAAGGATTTACTTGGGTCAGTCACCTTTATATAGACTTCTGAATATGAAGTCCCCCCAAATTATCTGCTAGTAGTTCTGAAGACCTAGAAAAAGTTGAGACACAAATTAGTATAGAAAGAAATAACATTGATCAACACACAGAATGGAATTCTACAGCTATATTAACAATTTTGTTTCTGTATACTATCTTGCTTGCCATCCTACATCTATACTATCTTGTTTACCACCCTACGTCCATCCAGCACTGAATTTTTTGCTCTTTAATCTTTAATTTTTCCATAAAGCCAGAAACGAGAGGGTAGGGAAGGAAATTATTTGACATAAATGGTAAATACTTCTGTCACTGGCAAATTCTTCCCCTTCCTTCAAATTAGAATTCTCTCTCATTTTCCAAGGGACTCCTTCTTTTTCTCTCTCCTAAGAGGTGATTCCCTTCTCCACTGAACAGTTCTCAAATTCAGAGATCTTTAACCCGATGTCCGATAGCTGTCCAGCCAGACAAGGGCCCATCATCACCCATTAAATTACAAGTCCATATTTATTACTCCTTTTCTTTCCCTTCATTCCACATCATCTGGTTTCTTGTCCTACTATAAAAAATAATGATAAAAGGGAGTCATTTCTATGTGTGGTCAAATGGAAACATGCTTAAAAAAGGGGGCTTAATTTTCTACCTTCCAAAAAGAAAGGTAAAATAGGTGATCCAGGACTTTGGGGGGAAAATGATCAGTATCCTTTAAGTCTCTGGTGTTTTTTCCAAAAAGTCAAATTTAACACTGGCCAGAGTTATTAACAGCTTAAAGATTAACATATCATAAACATGAAAAGAGTTGTTCATAGGATTCCAGTTACCAAGCATTAGAACACATGCATTTTATTTACGTTGATGTTTTATGATTTCTAATTTAAAAAAACTGGAAAATAAGCTATTTTTTAGAAACAATTTAAAATAGTATACTCAGAATTAGAGAAAGAAAAAGTATCAAAGTAACAGTAAAAGGAAGGAAGAAATAAAGTACATCAAGGGAGAAGCAATAGCAAGTAAGAAAGAAAAAAGGAGGAAAAGACAGAAATAGATGTGAGTGTACAGTATGGGGAAAATGTATCACAATTTCAAATTCTTATTAACTATTTCCCCAACAATCCATCAGAAACCACAGGAACACTAGGTAAGTTCTCGGATTCAGAAACAGAGACAGCCTGTACCTTCCAGTAGTACCGAGTACTCTCTTTAGGAGGTGCCATTTGCATACAGTTTCTAGAGGAAAGGATGTTAGATAGAACATGCCAGAAATGTTTCTTAATGACCCCATCTTTTTAATTGGGTTCAGAAATGGCCAACAGTCTCTATATCATCATTCTGACAGTCTCTTCTCTATATGACTTGCTGAAAGCACAAGACCTGTATGATCTCCCTGGTCACTCACAGAGAAGACAAACAAAAAGTGTTTTATGAACAATTCCAACAGAGATTTCAGAAGAAGAAATTGCATCAGACAGGTGAGGCGGAAGCAGCTGGGAGACAAGAGTCCAATAAACAACCAATCCAATGAAAGAAATTCAGAACAAGTCTGCTTCAGTAATCCTGTGAAGAGGACTGGCAGGAAGAGGAGTGCCGCTTCAGAAAGAGAACAGGCCTCATATGCTTCAGACAGTCTTTGTACTGAGGCTGTGGACCTTGGCCATTCTCCCAGAAATGATGCAATCCTGATGAACAAGATCTGCTGCCAGAGAAACAATTGTTAACAGCCTATGCAGACAGCAACTCAGCCAAGGAGCAATCTCTGATCAACTCACTCCATAAACCAACAGAACGCCAAATCTCTCTTCCTCATGAAATTTCAGTGTCTGACAAAACATAAGTGAACACAGTATATATTCAGATATAAGAACAAGCCATTTTCTCAAAGTGTCCTTTTTCTTTTAATTTCTTTGGCTGTACAATATCCATTATTACATTTTAGATAAAATACTGAACATTTTTTACTTTTGTAAATACAATTATCCAAGCATATCAACATAACAACATAAATATGAAAATGTATACTTATTTTCCTCATTCTCATAAGAAAACCTTTTTGGGAGGTAGTGGCTTCCCTAAGCATAAAAATTGCTCTGAAATCTATCATCCAGCTATAATATTTCAAGTAAAGACAAATATACACATACTCTAATTCAGAGACAGAAAATATATTTCATAGATATTTTTGAAATTAGATAAAAATTAATGTTAAATATTGGCATCTATTAGAGAAAAGAGAAAATCTAATCTTGCTTAGGCTGACATACAAGGTAGACTAAGCAGTATCATCTCACAATAATAGTACTTATAACAATCACTTTTTTGAAGGGCAAAAATATTACTTCAGATCTTACTAAAGGATCAGATTATTTTAATCTTATGAGCCACAATTTACTAATTTAGAAACTAACTTAAAAATATCCTCAATTTAATAATCTTCTCTAGACTTCTCATCTCCTAGGCCTGGTTTCTTTTTCAGAAGTTTTGGTATCAGGTTTTTCACACAGTATTATAAAATTATAAAAAGTTGTTTTTTCTCACTAAATAAATAGAAGATCCTGTATAAAGCAGTTCTCTAAACTTCAACTAGCCAAAAGTCATAACTAACCAAATTTCTTCCTTTTGAAAGCAATAACCCTTAAACTGGGATTCATGAAAAAACACAAATATCTAAGATATATCCTGAAATAAATCTATTCAGCCCAATCTACTACTTCTATATACTACTAAATAACAAAAAAGAACAGATACACAGAATAGCTCTAAAGCACTAAAAATACTTTAATAGGTCAATAAATGAAAAAATTTAACTCGGGAAGAAAAAACACTTTTTGGGACTATTTCAAAAGGGTTAAAGTAGCTAATAATTTTTTAAAAATCCAATTTCTGAACTTGACTATTCAAAATTTTATTACATATAGGCTGAATTTCTTCTTAAATACATTTATAGTTCTTTGATTTATCTTTTGAATGACTTTACAAAATAGTAAAAAGGGGAAATGGGGAAAGAATATTGGGTTTTCTGGTATGATGATTTTTACTCTCTACATAATTTTTAAATCACAGAACAGTCCAGAATACAATAAATATATGACTGCTTCTTATCTATATGACCAACTTTTATGAGAATGAATGTGGCAACTGCATTATATACTTATCTTCATCTTCATCTCAAAGTCAAATATCTCAAGTAAAATCACTGTAGTTGTACCATGACAAACAGCCTTTTACCTTAGGAGAAGAAAAGTATGCTAGGAAAAAGCACTATTAGAGGCTGGGTGCAGTGGCTCACATCTGTAATCCTAGCACTTTGGGAGGCTGAGGCAGGAGGATCGCTTGAACCCAGGAGTTCAAGACCAGCCTGGGCAACATAGTGAGACCCATCTCCTAAAAAAAAAGAAAAAAAGAAAAGAAAAAAAGGCACTATAATAGGAGTTAGGAGACTTGAGTTCTAGTCTACAACATAATTAGTGACCTCAGAAAAATCACTTTACATAGATGATCCCTAAATTCCTCAAAGTAAAATCTTCATTGTGTGTCTTCCTGCTCCAGATTTCTATGAATCCTGGCACTGCTGCCAACTAGCTTAGGAAATTCACAGAATGTCTCACAGTCTCAGTTTTCTCATCTGTACCAAAAAAAAAAAACAAAAAACAAACCCCAAAAAACCAAAAAACACAAGAATAAAAACAAAAACAACAAAAAAACCTGTTGTGCTGACCCATAGGCACACATGGACTAGCATTTGCAGCAACTAAGAGCTTAAATAACTTTCTGGTCCCTTTGAGTATACGTGAAGAAAGAGGAGCTGCTGCTAATAACCGGAATATGGCTAAACACTATTTTTATTCTTCTCCAAAAGCATGTATTTCAAGTTTGCTACAGCAGATAATGTGGAAAGAAAAAATGTGAGAAACATGAAAAAAAAAAAAAAAAAAGAGAGAGAAGTGTGAAGCATTAGAAGAAACAAATATGAGTTACTGGAAAACAAAGAGATGAACTCTAAAAGAGCACTCAGAGATAAAGTGAAAAGTTTATGTATTTGGAACAGTATACATTAGGCTTATAATCTGAAGCAAATTAATGCAAGCAAAGAATTTAGGGGTTGAGGACTGAAGGGAAAAAAGAAAAGAGAGAAACACTGATTGGGATAAGCACTGGAGACAGGAAACACCATGATTTAGTAATTTAAAGCAAAAATAAAAATTTCCTTTTCCCCCCATCTCTTCTACAATACCAGTTTATTCCTTTGCCTAAATTTACACTCACTCTAGGAGCTACTGAGCTTGGCATAATAAACTGATGTCTATAAGAAATCTAAGTTTACTAGAATAAAAGGACATTAAAAGACAACTTAAAAAAATCCTACTTTAGTCTATATTAAGAATTTCCTTCTCCATAAAAGAGTATTATAGAGACCAAGTCATACTTAGTAGTATGTGCAGCAGAAGAAGGGAGTGGCAGTAGGATAAGATTACATACCAAAAATGATATAATTACTATTATTATCTAAATATTATGATTGTAAATTAACACTGAAGAAAAAGAAATATTTTATTTACAACCCATTTAACAATGATAAAAAGGTATTTACTGTTAAACTAACCAACAATACACAGACTCTTTGTAACCTTAACAAGAATCAGGAAGATTTTAGACTTCTAAGTACCAAATAAAAATGATGCCCTCAAATAATTTAGACTGACTAAACCTCTTTAAAGAGTTATACTCTCAATACTTTCTGAAGGTTCTGTCCTACTGTGTTCTTAGGCTCAGAACATGTGTGAGACCAACGTACCAAACTAGAGTAGGAAAAGAACTTCTCGTATCTCTACACATGCCTCCTCTGTGAATTCAGATCATTTTCATTTTCAAACCCCAAAACGGGAGCCACTTTTACTTACTATAGATGAGGTGGGTTGTGCACACTTATGAGCCATTAATATCTGTATTTTTACTTTCATTAATTTAGGCAAAATTTCTCCAACCGATGAAGAAACAGAAATGAAGAAACAGAGCTACAAAAAGATTAGCTTGTATGAAGTCTACTACACACCTACA